ACTCAGGTAATGCCCTGGGTGGGGACACACAGAGCCACTAATGACCCTAATTCACCGCAGCTGAAATGGGCACCTGTCCTGAGGCTCCCGTATTTCATGAGATCCATTATCTGGGTAATCTTGCAAAGGTTTCGGCTCTCAGGCTCTCAGTGATTCATCTGGCCTCCCTCTGCCACGCTTTGTCCTCCATGGGAAGCAGGGAAATCCCACCTGGTCCTTACCTTTGGGTTCTAATCCCCTGCATAATGGTAAAGTTCACTAGTTCTTTTCTCACTGCCTTCTAAGAGGTTTTCTGTTCAACCCAGTCTCTGAGCCACTGCACCCCAAACCCAGTCTCTGAGCCACTGCATCCCCAGGAAGTAGGGTCTGCAGCTCCTCACAGCCAAAGGAGCTGAATAAAAGAGACAGCTCACCTCCTCAGCACCCCATAAAGAATTATGGGATTTGTGTCTCTTGGGGGGGAATGAGACAGGAAGGCACAGAAGGGCTAAAACTGACTGGGGAGGAGGTGAGAAAGCCTGGAAACACATGTGGGGAACGGTTCACAGAGGCCTGCATGTGGGCTTCTCAGAGAACTCCAGCAGGTTTTCATGGGGAGTCCTGGACCGGATGTCACCCTGAGGAGTGGGTGACATGAGAGCGACGTCCACGCTGAGTTTTTGCCTCTGTGTCCCCTCTTGCATGGTGGCCGCCCTCACGCTGTAGGATATGCTTCTTTCCCCATTTCTACTTGGCCCAAACTCACTCTGTAGAGGCTCTGTAGAGCCTGCTTTTTTTCTTGCCTTTGGTGAAACATTGTTCCTGTTTGTGCTGGTCTTGACCAATGCTTGCTCAGGACAGAAAGAACCTAGAAACCACTTCAGAAGGAGCCACCAGCACCCCAAGTCCCAGTAAGGAGATCTAGTTACACCTCAATGAAGAATGTGTGCCCCGTGCTTGGTGTACGTCCTGACCCTGAGCACAGGCTCTTCCACAGGATGCTAGTGACCCACCTGACTGTAAACAAGACCGGCTGGGAGGCATTCTCTTACATCTGATCATTTAAAACTGGTGGCATAGAATTCTGGGTGGTCTCCGAGGCAGTTCAAAGCTTTTAAGTACACAAGTATTATTCACAGGCCTGGGGAAAAAATCCAAAAATTCATATAAGACCAGAAGAGACCCAGGATAGGGAATGGAATTCTGTGCAACAAGAACAAAGCAGGAGAGGCTGGGGATTTATCTCAGTGGCATAAGCGCCTGCCTTGCAAGCAGGCAGTCGTGAGTTTGATCCCCGGTACTGATAAAAAGGAAAAAGACAAAAACAAAACAAAACAAAAAAAACCTCCAGGCACATTCAGCTATGGGATCTTTGCCATAAGATCAAAGGGGCCAAAAACGTACACAGGAAGAAGGGCACCCTCTTAAAATAAATGGTGCAGGAGACCGGGTGTGGTGGCAGACGTATTAACAGTTGTATCCCAGACCTCAGGGAAGAGGACTGCAGACTTCAAGGTCAGCCTGAACTACGTAGTGAGGATGTGTCTTGAAAAGAAAATTGATAGCCACATACAGAAAACTGAATCCAGGTCCATATCTCTCATCATGGACCAAATGAACATCAAATTTGATCAACTAATTAAATGTTAATAAGACAGAAACACTTACCCTGAGTGGTAGATAAAATAGATACCACTCTTGAAGTCACAGGCAGAGGCAAGGACTTTCTGAATTGAAGCCAGGTCACGCAGGAAATAGTACTGAGCACAGGAACCAGTACTGAGAATCAACAGATGGGATCTTATCAACCTAAAAAGCATCTACATGGCAAAAGAAATAATCCACAGAGAGAAAAGATGATCTAGAGTGGGAAAAATATTCTGCCATATACTCCTCAAAGGACGAGTAGTTAGAATATATAAAGAACTAAAAAAAGACTCCTAAGGGGCTGGGGATTTAGCTCAGCGGCATAAGTGCCTACCTTGCAAGCCTGCAGTCGTGAGTTCAATCCATTACTGATTAAAAAAAAAAAGATGAAAAAAAAAAAAGACTCCTAAGATAAAAGACCCAATCAAAAAATGGGTAAATGAAATGAACAGACACTTTTCAGGGGAATAAATGGCCAATAAATGACGAGATGCTGGTCAACCCCTTCCAGTGAGCCAGAGGAGAAACGAGAGGAGAATGCTCAATATCATTAAAGAAATGCAAACTAAAACACCACTGAGATTGTCTCTCACCCAGAAAGAAAGGCTGGGCCGTCAGAAGAAATCAGGTAATAACAGATGCTGGTGAGGCTGTGGGGCAAAGGAACCTTCCCTGCTGTTGGTGGGGATGTAAACAATGGCTATGGAAATCAATATGAAGATTAAAAACTAAAACAAGAAATCCCATCTGACCCAGTGAGTCCCCTTGAGGGTATCTTCCCCAAGGAGTAAAAGACTTGATTCCTGGAACCAAAAAAAAAAAAAAAAAAAAAAAAAAAAAATAGAGTTAAAGACATCATATTACAGAGATGCATACACACTCATGTTTATAGTAGCACATTCATAATAGCTGAATTTTTATTATTTTTTGGAGACAGGGTCTCACTATGTAGCCCACAGTACCTCATATTACCTCACAGAGATCCTCCTGCCTCAGCCTCCCAAATACTGGGAGTGTGCACCATTACGCTGCATTTATAATAGCTGAATTCTGAAAGCAGTCTGCATGTCCACCAGCCCATGAATGGATAAGGAAAATGTGCTCACACACAGTGTGGGGCACCGCTCTGCCACACAGTTGAGTCAGTATAGGAAAATGGATACACCGGATGTAAGACGTAAGAGTACCTGCCTGGCCTGTGTTTACTAGCCACTCACAGGAGCCCTAATTCACAGGACTAGCCAGAGGCTGTAAGGAGACCAGATAAGCTCTGCGGGAGGAGGTGGCTGTCAGGCAGGTTTTCCTAAATTAGGCCCCTAGACATCAAAAGGCCACCAACAACCAAAGACAGGGAGGTGGAGTAGGGAAAGGGCAGAACGTGGGGCACTGGGAAGGAACAGTGCTGATGGGACAGAGTGCTGGGGACACCGTGCCCCAGGCCAGGCTGAGGGGAGGCCTGTTAGGAATTAAAAACCCACAGCTGGCTGGGTGTGGAGGTACAGGCTGGTACTTGGGAAGCTGAGGCAGGAGGATTGCCACAAGTGTGAGGCCAGGTTGGGTTGCAACAGTGAGTTCAAGGCCAGCCTGAACCACACTGTGAAACTGTTTCCAAACCCCTCCCCCAACCAAAACCCAAACCAAACCAAATCCGCCAATAACATGCCTTTTATTTAATACTTTGAAAATCAAAGGACAGAGGTGACACAGAGCCGGTTAGCTGTCACCACCCCAAGGCAGTTACTGCCCATCTTCTGGAGGAGTAAACTGTAGCTCAGTGTGTCTACCCCGCTCCTGTGCTGGGAGCCAAGTCACACCCAGGAAAACCAACTTCACAGCTAAACCTCAACGATAACACACACTTTTGACAAAAGAGACGTAGGTGTGTGTCCATTTGCAACTTTTTAATTTTTTTTAGACAAGGTCTTGCTCGGGAGCCCAGGCTGGTCTCATACTCATGGCAACCCTCCTGCCTCAGCCTCCTGAGTTTCAGGATTATAAGACATGTGCCATCTTGCACATGTCTACATGTCATCACTTATGACTTCTTTAATGAGCTCAGGTAAACACACATGTGAGAGTGTTCAGTCCCTCTTTCAGGATTACTTTGAGCTAATGATTTCACTGTGAATTTTTTTTTTTCTTTTTCATTTTTATCGGTACCAGGGATCGAACTCACGACCGCCTGCTTGCAAGGCAGGTGTTTATGCCGCTGAGCTAAATCCCCAGCCCCTCACTGTGAATTCTGATAAATGACCACGCAGGCCACCATGATCTCAGCTCCCAGGGCACGATTATCAGGTAAGCAAAAGTGTGATCCCAGTATTTACAATCTCACATGCCCACACTTTAAATCTTACTAACCAGAAGCAACTATTTTTTTTTTACTTTAAGGAGTCCTTTGCATATAAAGACGAAATAATTTCCATGTAATTGTTCACAAGACTTGTGTGAATATCTACATACATAGTGGTGGTTTTTTTGCTAATTTTCAGCCCTCAGTTAAGAGGTCAGGAGGTTCTGTGATGTCCAAAAGTTACATCAGGGCCAATGACACAATTGTTTTCACACAGCACAAAATACAGAGCAGGATGCTTACTGATTAACCACTCATGATGGCCTGTGGTCTGTAGTTCCAGTCACTGGGGAGGCTGAGACAGGAGGATACCTTTAGTCTAGGAATTTCAGAACAGTCTGGACAACAGACCCAGACCCTGTTTAAAAAAATTTTTTAAAAAGCTGGGTTTGGTGGCATACTCTTGTAATCCCAGCATTTGGAAGGCTGAGACAGAAGGATCACTCCAAATTCAAGACCAGCCCGAACTATATATAGACACCCTGTCTCAAAAAAGAAAAGCCAAACAAAAGTAAACCATAAAGGGAAAGTTAGCCAGAAGGAATTCCAAGGTCACTCCTGTGCCGCTGTAGGTGTACCCATCAGGCCAGACCGCACCATCCTGCCTGGGACGCCAGTGAAATCGAAAGTCCAGGACAGGTCAGGACATGCTCTGAGCCTCAAGCCAGGCTGCTAAGAGTAGCTGGAAAAGGCCCAGAGGTTTGGGATGGGCGGACAGGATTGGACGCCGCCAAGGTCAGGACTGTTTTAATGTAAGCAGCGTCTGCAGCACAGCAGAGACTGGCCTCAGAGAGGAGGCTCCCATGCTTGCAGTTTCAGGGGCATCGTCAGTTCTGTGCCTCAGCCTGCGTGCTTGGAAGCTAGGAGCGGCAGAGTGAAGGTTTCATCGGTCAGTAGTTTTTTTGGAGACCGTCTCATTTTGCAGCACAGACTGGCTTGAACTCATTGCGAACCTCCTGCCTCAGCCTCCTGAGTGCAGGAATTGTGTGCGCCATACCTGACAGGTAACTACACACTTGAGTCAATGTTCAAACGCCATTTTAATGGGCAAGAGGTGAAGAGAAACATGTTTACGTGCTCGGCTCTACTGAACAGGTAAGGAGTGATTATTCTCGTAAAACCATACATATTGTTTTAAAATGTTACATTGAAGCTCGCTGAAGGACATTTGTGTGAAGCGGTAAAAATAATGTTCTTTTAATCAGCTCGAACTTCCAGAGGAACAGATGAAGGAGGACCCAGACCTCTGCCTTGGCCAGGAGAGCCCTGGAGCCTGTGCTCCTCTCTCTCCCGTATACAGACTGCGCTGCTGTTCGGGTGCAGTGACTTTATTTCGTTACATACACTGAGGCAGAGACACGGGAGGACATTCAGACACCACAGGGCGTCCGGGCGGTGTGTTTCACCCTGGACAGAGAATCACTCGCAGGTGCCCTGGGTTTAGGGACAGAGGTGCCCAGGAGCCCTGGCCGCGCCCTTCCCGCTGGTCGCACATCACGGTTCGCACCCAGTGGTCATTGAAGGGACTGAACGCATTCCAGAGACGTTAACACTCGGGATGCTCCAGAAAGTCCTGCTCCACGCACGCCTCCAGCTGCCTGAGGACGCATGGGCCGCCGGTGCCGGGGACCTCCAGAGGCAGTGCTCGGGCACAGGGTTCGGCCCCTGGGGCCGGGCGCTGAGCTTGGGTTTTGAAGGCATAGCTCAGCGTCTGGAAGAACGGGGTAAGGTCCCGGATGCTGGAGACCGAAGGCTGGCGCAGCAGTGGGAAGTCGCTCTTGGGGGCCATCTCGTGGGGGCCGCCAGCTTCCTGCAGAAACACAACCAGAGGCACGGTTAAGACCAGAAAAAAAAACTATCTGGCCTCCGGTTCTCACGCGTTCTGCAGGGTTCTTGCCCAGCCCAGCCCAGCCCAGCCCAGCCCAGCGGGGGCCTTGGCCCGGGTCCTCAGCCTCCTTGGGGCCTGCAGAGCAGGGCAGCCTGGGGGCAGGGGGCGATTCTGGCGTCTAGGGGGTCCCCTCGCAGCTGCTGGGAGCAGCGGACCGCGTGAGGCGAAGAAAACAGCAGACTCTACAACCAGAGGGAGTTGGAAACCAGAGGTGCTGGGGTCCAAGGAGCTCTCAGTCCTCGGCCCTTCTCTCTGCCACGAAGGTCGCTGTTATAAGCACAGCGCTTACCCCGTATTTTGACCTCAAAAGTTCTAGAATCTTGACAGTGTGGGGTTTGCATTCCTGGTGAGTCTCTTCTAGGTCGGACAGGGACACAGGGCTCGCTGTGTCCACCTCCGGAACAAAGGCCCACCTGTATCTGGAGGAGAAACCCAGGGTTAGTCAGGCACCCTGGGTCTGCGCCCACGGGAAGAAACACCTAAAACAGCTTCTGATGATCTGATTCGCAGCCAGGCATGGTGGTGCACATCTGTGATCCTGGTTTTTGGGAGGCTGAGACAGGAGGATCATGAACTCAAGGGCAGTCTGGGCTACACAGTGAGATTCTGTCTCAAAAAAAAAAAGGTGATTCTTACACCATAGCCATTTCATATACATAAATCAGTGGCTCTTATTATACTCACGGAATAGCACCTTCATCAGCTTGATCAACGCAGCTTCTCCCCAGGCATCATACCTCCTCCCTACCCTCATCTACCTTCGGTCATGGACTCTTGTCGCGTGGCCCCGGGAAAGGCTCGGGCCTGGGAACCACATCCCTGACCGCCCTTGTGTGTCCCCAGGCTGCCTGCCAGGTGCGGAGCACAGCACAAGCAGCTGGAGCTGTCTCGATGCCCTCACGCAGTGCCCACTCCTCCTGGAACTCGGGGATCTGATGCAGCCAAGCAGCCTGGGGCCTCTGCAGGGACCCGCCTTGTGCCTGTGGGGCTGCTGGCTGAGGGGCAGGGGTACTGCTGCTTAGACCCACCCCTTAAGAGCATCGCCCAGCAGCCCAGTCCTCCCTGACTCTGTTCCAGCTTCCCTGCCTCAGGATCCCTTGCTCCGAGCACTGGACCGGCTCCATCCAGCCAGATCACATTCTCAGCGTGGCCCAGCCGCTGCGTCTATTGCAGGGTGACGCTCCACTCTCAGGATGCATGGAGGTCTGGGCCATTGTCCATCCGTCCCTTGGCGGCCATTCGGGGTCCCTTCTGGCTACTACACACGATGCTGCTGCACACACTGGTGTACATCTGAGTCTTTTTTTTTGTCTTTTTGAGACAGGGTCTTGCTGTGCAGTTCAGAGTGGCCTTGGGCTCACTTTGTAGCCCAGGCTGGTCTCGAACTTGCCACAATCTGCCTGCCTCAGCCTCCCAAGTGCTAGGAGGATTACAGGAGTGCACCACCACGCCTGGCTCATTTGAGTCCATTAAAAAAAAAAATTCTTTCTAGTTTTGGGTTCACACTGAACTGGGGAAGGGGTGGGAAGCACAGAGAGCCCCCTCGTGTGCCTGTTCCCCACACACAACCCCCACTTCTGAGCTCCCATGCCACCACGGGCCCTGCTCCTGAAGAACCCACGGTGATACATTACCTCAGTACCCGCAGCTCATGAGTTTGATCTTTGTGCTGAGGGTTCCACTGGGGTTTTAGTTTGTTTGTTTGAGGCCGAGTCTTGCTGTTAGCTCAGGCTGGGTTTGAACTCACTGTGTAGCCCAGGCTGGCTTGAACTCACAATGACCCTTCTGCCTCAGCCTCCCAAGTGCAGAGATTACAGGTGTGTGCCACCCTGCCTGGAAAGTCGATGCTCTTTTTCCTGTCCCTATTATTTTGTCTTTTCCAACTGCCATTTAACCAGAATGAAACAGTGTGTGGCCTTTCCAGACTGGCTTCTCTCACTTACTGTAACAACACATAGCTAAGGGAACCACACACAAGTTACTCAATTTCCACACCACCACTCTCTTTTCAGGGGTGCAGACACAGGCGGCCTCTGGGGCGAGGCCCAGAGTCACAGCAGAAGTGTGCAGCGGGCGACAGCTGCCCAGACCCACATCGAGGGCAGCAGGGTCCCTGGCACAGGACCTGCATGTTCACAACCCCAGGAGACGGCGGTCCTGGTCATCCAAGCCACTCCTGGCCACCCCGTGCTGGACGGATGGCATGGGCAGGGAAGCCGGTGGCTGCTTACATTTGAAACAGCGGCATGCGGTCAGGTGGAAAGGAGAGGGCCGTGTCCAGGAATTTACAGGCCGACAGATACAGGACGAGTTCACTCGGGGCCATCTCCCCTGTTGAGGGCCCATTTCCGTCAGGAGCGGAAATTTTTTTGTTTATTTTGCTGCTGTTTCTGTAAATGTGCAGAGACATGCTTGTCATCAATTTGTTTTTTTAAATTTTTGAATTTTTTGCAACCCCCAGCTCCCCACTATCACTTTATTCACAACTACTATAGCCCATTTGTTTATGAGAAGCCCTTTAGAAGGATTTTCCTTCCAGGGCTGGGAATGGTGGTGCACACCTGTGATCCCAGCTACTCAGGAGGCTGAGGCAGGAGGGTTGTAAATTCAGGGCCAGGCTGGGCAACTGAGCACGACTCTGTCTCAGGATAAAAAGGGCTAGGGATGCAGTTTGGTGGTGCAGTGTGGCTTGGTTTGAGCCTCGGTGTTTGCCCACATTAACAACCAAGAAGAACACAGAGGAGATGTCACAGTGGGAGGTCCTATCAGGCATCCAAAGAAGACAGCATTAGCATTGGGCAGCCCTCCGCCAGAGGGGGTGGGGTGGGGTGGGGGGCCTGCTCATCCTTTCCCCAGGTCTAGGGCTGACCCCAGGGCGCTCGACCACTGAGATCCATTCCAGCCCTTTTGGCTTTTAGGTGGGGTCTTGCTAAGTTGCCCAGGCTGGTCTTTAACTTGCCTCAGCTTCCCAGGAAGCTGGGGTTCCAGGTGTGCACCCCCCACCCGGCTGGTGCCCCCAGTCTCTCTCTCTCTCTGTCACACACGCACAGTGGGTATCGTCCATACCTCAGTGACTCATCTTCCTCCTTCAGGTCGTCTTCGAGTTGTACGAATATCTGAATCTTAAAGAGAAAACACACACATGCCCATTACTATTCATGGAGCGGAAACCTCCCCAACCTCGCGCAATCTATTGGTCGAGCACAGGTCCAGGGTACAGCCAAAACAACAAAAAGGGTGCAGTGGTGCACGCCTGTCATTCCAGCACCCAGGAGGCTGAGGCAGAAGGATCACTTCAAGCTCAGGCAAGCCTGGGCCACACAGTGAAACCATGTCTCAAAAACCAAGTGTACCAAAAAACTGCTAGAAGAACCACAAAGAACCAGTCAAACCACCAACCGACTAACCTAGGGGATACTATTAAACAGGAGCGGTCAGCTGGAAAAGCTGACAGTTGAGAGAGCAGAGAGGACTTAAAGCTTTTCTCTGTTTAAACTAGGAGTTGACTCTGTGCTCCTGGCCTTCCAGAGTGGCACCAGAACGCTCACTTACCAACTCGGAGACCATTATGGGCCACAGTGAGGTCAGATGCTGGGGAGAGATTCTTAGCAGCAGAACTCTGAAAAAAAGAAACATCTGAGCAGCAACTATGGGTGTCTGTCCGACTCTGAGATTGTCTGTCAGGCGTTCTACGGAAAGAAGAGTTCACAGAGGTCACAGAGACGCACACTTGGGCTCCTCGTTAGCCCCAGAAGAGAAACAACACTCTTGACTGCCTCGAGGTCTCTGTCATCTTGCAGCCCTGGGGACTAAACCCAGGGCCTCCACGCTAAGCTATGTCCCCAGCCTCCTTTGGCTTTTTATTTTGAGGCAGAGTCTAAGTTGCTCCACTGCTCGGGCTGTGCTGGAGCGTGTGATCCTCCTGCCTCAGCCACTTGGCTTAAATCTGTGACTGTGCAGGTATCCTGAAGACAACTGGGTGAGAGAAAGCGATGCCCCTGACCGCCATCCCCACCAGCGCACTGAGGGTGAAGGCTTGGGGCTCTGACTCCCAACTCGGGCGTGCCCAGTGACATTGTCTGGCTCTTACTTCAGGAGAAGACGGCCACACAGAGGGCGCCCGGCCCGGGTGACAGGGACCACCCTCAGCAGACAGCGCCACGCGGGTGCAGAGTGCAGAGGGAAGCCAGGGAGGCAGACAGATTTATCTGGTCCAGCTGAGATCTGACCCTGGCAACCAAAGCTTTAACTCCTGTGGGGGGGAAGCAGGGTTGGATTCTCCAGCTGTCCAGGCTCGTCCCAGTCACCCTCAGGTGAGTGAACCCCAGTCGTCACAAGGTTCGATGGAGGACACCAGGCCTCAACTGCTTTTACTTATTTGTTTTTTTGAGACAGGGTCTCACTGTGTAGCCCAGGCAGGTCCAAACTCATGGCAATCCTTTTGCCTCAGCCTCCTGAGTGACAGGATTACTGAGGAGCACCATTATGTGCCCGCCTTTTTTTTTTCAAGATTCTTTTTTTTAAACTGGGTTTTTATTTCTTGTCTTTACAAGTATCTGACCGAATGAGGTACATGCATAGCTCAGATACTGGACCAGCTGGTATTTTCTTTAAAAAGTACTGTTTGTAATCTCCAAACAGGCCTGTTTGCAGATTACATGGAGCCAGTGTACAACATCATACTCCTGCTCTTACCATCACAGGAAATCTTCAACAAGGGAAGCTGCTGCCAGGAAGCTGAGAGACGGAGAGAAGCGGGCAAGGCCCCCTGGGGGCCCACGGAGCTAAGGGATGACCAGGTAGTGACATCTTAAGCTTCCAAAAATGTTGTTTTTCACTTAATTCTACTCTGCACACCCAATTGGGAAGGCCTAAAATCTCAATTTGAAGCCAGGTGTGGTGGTGCATGCCTATAATCCCAGCACTCAGGAGGCTGAAGCAGGAGGATCACCTCAAGCTGGAGACTAGCCAGGACTACATGGTAAATTTAAGGTGAGCAGAACTACACAGCTCTCAAAACCTGTCGACCCTGTCTCAAAAAACGAAAACAAAATCCGCACAAAAATGTCATCCTGAATAAGGAAAGGTGTTCAGTATCACAATGCCGAGTTAATACGGAAGGTGGAATTTGAAAAGGATTTGGAAACAGCTAAAAATACTCCACTACTTAGTTATGGACACTTGGACCAAAACACTGAAGCTTCAGCAGTGAAACAGGTGATCCATGAAGGGCTGAATGGAAACGTCAGAACAGGAACACCGCAGGACTGACAGAACTGAGCCACAGAGCAGTGGGTGAAAGAGAAAGGGGTGGCGAGGCAGGTTTGGCAGCTCTGGGAGGGCTACAAGTGACCAGCGGGACATCGAGCCCAACTGTCCGGTGTTTGTGTCATCACAGGAAAGAGTACAGGCTAGAAAACCACTGGAGGAAACAGTGACAATCACTCCCCAGATTCCGAGAAGGACCCATCCACAGCACAGGCTGAGTGAGCAAGGTAGTGGTGCACGCCTGCAGTCCCAGCACTTGGGAGGCTGAGGCAGGAGGAGGGCCACACGTTTTGAGGCCAGCCTGGGCTATGCAAGATGCTTAAAATCTGCCTGGATTACATAGTGAGACCCTGTCTTAAAAGAGGGAACTCTGAAGAGGTAAACCCTAAAAATCCCAAGCCCATACACAATGTAATCACAAACTCCAAAAGATGAAGAAAAATTCTTTATAACAGAATAAAATGATACACTACAAAATGGAGACTAAAAGAAGCATTTTTTTAAGTGAAAAAGGAGGAATTTCCACTCAGAATTCTATTTGCAATGAAAATACCCTAAGACACAAATGTTAAAAAATAAAGTCCTGAAAACTAACGAATGAAGGTGAAGTAAAAATAACCTACAGGAAGTAAAACTGAGAAAAATCGGTTGCCAGCAAAATAGCTAAAAGAAATGGGCGTGGGGGCACACACTTATAATTCCAGCATTTGAGAGGCTGAGGCAAGAGGATCTCTGTGAGTCCAAGGCTAGTTTGAATACATGGGCATATATGCTTCAAATTAAAGCTAATTCCAGAAGATTATCTTTAGCCAAGGTGATGTAAGTCTCTACTTTTCTTTGGTCTCTAATACTCCTTTCTTAGCCCAATTATAACCTTCTAAGCTAAAGTCTTGTGAGTGAACACGGGAGAGAGCCTGCGCCAGTGCCACTGCACCATGGTCTCAGGCTGGGCCCTCAGCAGGCAGCTACGGGCCCACATGACCCACTGTTCCCCACCCCTGAAAGCACAGCAACATCCTGCCCCGCCAGCCTGGAAGGGTAAAGGCCCATGGATGACCACAGCCTGTTCTGCGGCCAAAGGGCCCCAGTAAGTGGCAACAAAGCTTCAGATGGGCGCTCCCTTGAGAGCTGGCACCTAGTACAGAAATCAAGCCAAGAGGCACAGGGCCGGGAGGGAGGTGGAAAGATGGGCGATGCTCCAGGAGGCCATGTGACACCCATATCCCGCACTTCCTTGGTCATCTGAGGCCTCAGGCACAGGCTCCAGGAGGAGCAGCGCCTGGCCTCAGCCTGCAGCAGGCCTCCAGTTTGTCTGTTGCCCAGGTAACAGTTCCAGTTCCAGTTCTGGTTACTTCTGTCTCTTAAAAACGGCTGGTCTCTGTGATGCACATAGTAAGAACCAATCGATAACAACCAAATACTCTGCTTCTGTACTTCTTGCTTGCTTATCCCATGTAAGCCCCAAGTCACCAAGGATCAGGGCCTGACACTTTTATAAGAACTGACTCCTTGTCAGTACCCACTGACGTTCCATTAATCTGCCTCCAAATCCTGTGTGGTGTCTTGGTGTTTCTGTTTGGTGTTGCAGGCCCACTCAGAAAAACAGCGTCTTCCCTCACTGAGAAGGTAACTGCTCTGGCAGGAGTAATTTGCTTACTACAGTTTCTTTTATTATCACATGAGTACTACTATTCATGAAGAAGAAAAGTTTGAGTTGTTTTCAGGCAAATAGGTATACCTCCAGACCTTAATGGTAAGTGAAATAAATCAGACACACAAGCAAACATTACATGGTTTCTCTTATGTGGGTATCATGGTTCACAAATGCCTTTGTTTGCAAACAGAAACATGGCAAAAGTTTTGTTTCGTTTTGTTTTTTTTGCAGGTTGCATCAGGTGACAAATACCCACAGGCCTTTTACTCACACAAACACAACATGGCCATCTTTTCCAAAACAGAACTAATTAAGTGTGAACTGAGAAACCATTGTGTAAATAAAAAACCAACGTATTTCACAGAAGAGTGTGGTAGTGGTGCATGTGTATTAATTCCAATGCCCTGGGGGGCTGAGACAGGAGGATCACTGGTTTGAGTCTAGCTTGGACAACTCTGAAACTTAGCCAGATACTATCTCAAAATAAAAGAATGGGCTGGGGGAACAGCCCAGTACAAAGGCTTTAGATCCTGGGTTCAATCCCTAGTACTGCAAAGACAAAACAAAACAAAACAAAACCAGACCCCACAAAAAACAGATTCTCTTCGTATTTATGATGATGGGGGCTTATTGTCCTGATGGCAGAGGATGGGGTCTGGTCCTAAGGGGTGGAATTCAGAGCATGGCATGGAAGGGTTTATCTCTCCCACCTCCTTCTGGCTCAACCTACCTAGACCTTGTCTCAAAATTTAAAATATAATTAAAAGGGTGGGGGCCAGCTTAGTAAAGAAGGTCCTAGGTCCAACCCCAGTACCAAAAGCAAACAAAAAACCTGAACCCAGGAGGTCTCCTCAGTACGGAACGAACCTGGCAGCAGACAGGGCTGAGAAAGTCAGACTCCTGCATCATACTGTCAGACTTCTAGAATTGACCTATAAAAACATTATAGCTGGATTTGAGAATGAAGTTTCAGATTTGGTGACACATACCAATTTTGTGTGTTCACAGTGCTGGGGACTGGACTTGCTTGGGCACACTAGGTGGACACTACCGTGGAGCTCTAACCCCCAGTCCCACTGACACATTTCCAAAACCCAGTGAATCCTCCTGGGGAATACTTAACACTGGGCCACTGTGCCCGCATATGCCATGGGGCTCTCTGGCACTTACAGGTTTATCTGAGCTGGAAGGGAGGGGAGGGGTAGACCCTGCTGTGGCCCAAATATTCATCCTGTCAGAGACACACACTGGCATTTACCTGCTGGTGCAACAGCACTGGGAGCTGGGGCCTTCAGAACAGTCAGGCCCTAGGGCCCAGCCTCACGGGTGGGAGTGCTGCCATTATAAACCGGCAGCCCTGGCCCCTCTTCTCTCTTGTCCCCCACTTTCTGGGGTGGGAGGGGACACATTTCCACAGCTGCCAGCTTGCCAGGGCGCCACCTTGCTGGCGCAGCACAGGCTGAGTGGGGCGGCCTTCTTACCTTGGATCAGGGGGAGGTAGAGGTGGTACTGGTCCAGTTCGCCACTGAACACAGCAAAAGCCTGGCGCTTTAGTAGCATGGCTTTCTGCTCAAAACTCGAGAACAGTTTTAAAGAACTGCTCTGCATGTCTGGAAGGGAGACACAGCAGATAAATCTGTTAGAGAATGATGAGGGACAGTAGGAAAATCAGACCAGGGTTATTCCTATGTGCTCTGGTAAAGAATCCATCTCGAGGGAGTGACTGCGATCAAGCCCATATGTTTAAAGTCCTCTTATGACCAGCTTGTACTGCTGGGGCACAAGAATGGATGTGAGGTGCAGAGCCGCACTCCTGATCAGCTGCAGGAAAGTGAGTGCTCTCAAGGCCAGTGTCAAGCTGTCAACCCGCACCCAGCAGCATTTCCCTACCACGAGGCTGCCCAGAGGCTGCCGGCCTCTAGCCAGCGCTGGGGCTGGGATGGGGGCGGGGGACTCGTTCACTGTGTCCTCACATTCTGCACCGCGCATCAAAGTCTATAGCCCAGCACCACAAAAACTCTGAGTGGTCCTAAATATGAAGCAAAAGCTGCTTATGATGGCAATGACCCTAAAATGTGACAAGTAACACAGAACTTACTCATTAGATCCTTAAACATTGTTTTCTCATGAGTCAGAAGATGATCAATAATGGACTTCCAACTGGATATTAAAAAAAGCAAAATTAATTAAATATGCACTGGATGGCACTCTGATTTAAAGCATCAAGAAAATAACACCCCCTTTAAGATCAGTTAAAAATTGCACTCTGAAGAGAAGTTAGTGACAGAGGGTTTTGTTGAGGAAGACCAAGTCTAAGTGTCTCTTTGTCACACTTGCTGCGGCTTAGCATACAGAAAACACAGATTGGTGGTGTTCTGGCTCCTCGAGGGTGGACCTTAAAGGTGCAGGTGGGATGATTTGTGAAGGGAAGTGAGGGGAGTGCAGCAAGCAGCACTCCTCAGCTCTTACTTCTGGAAGGCTCATTTGGGGTGACCAGAAGAGCAACTGATTGCAGTCTGCCCTCTCTTTTTTTTTTTGTTCTGAGACAGGGCCTCACCATGTAGTTCAGGCTGGCCTTGAACCAGTGGCAAACCTTCTGCCTCAGCCTTCTGAGTGCTGGGATTACAGGCATGTGCCATCATGGCCAGTTGTCTGCTCTCATTACAATTCACAGAGTCAACAGACCATGGATTGAAAATATTAACAAAATAAACACTATGTCTGTACTGAATGTATACCTTCTCCTGTCACTATTCCCCAGATGATAGTCCACCGAGCTATTTATATAGCAGCGACACACATTAGGCATTGTCAGTTTCTGTGGGGTGACTTAAAATATGTGGGGAGATGTTCACAAGGTCGATATGACTGTCCCACCCTTTCACATCAAAAACTTGTGCACTGGTGGATCTGGGGACCTGTGGGACTGGGGCCACTGTTTCAGGATGGACAGCGTTGGGCTCCTCATGGTTTCTGGTCAGAGAGCCATGAGCAAGGGCTGCCAGGTCTCCGCCCTCTGCCCCAGCACCCTCTGTCACTAAGCAAGCCTCCTCCTGTGCGCTGAGATGGGACGGGGCACAGGTGTGGTGGGTGGGGTTTGGGGTCTCACATTGTGTCTCCAAGGGTCTTTTGCTGCCAGTGCAGTTCCAGCGCAATGCAAAATCTTTTTTTTTTTTCTCTTTTATATTCTTTATTTTACACTTTTTTTTTCTTTTTTTCTTTTTATTGGTACCAGGGATCGAACTCACGACTGCCTGCTTGCAAGGCAGGTGCTTATGCCGCTGAGCTAAATCCCCAGCCCCGCAATGCAAAATCTTAAGAGTGGTTTTAGGGTGCATAAACCAAAAAGAGGTCAAGATGCCTCAAAGGTTACCAGTGGGCTCTGCCATCATAGTGCTGGTGAGATGCTTCATGATTATAAAAAGAAAGCACTACAGCCAGGTGCGGTAATCCTGTAATCCTGGCACTCTGGGAGGCTGAGGCAAGGGCTCAAAGTCCGAGCCTAGCCTGGACAACTTAGCAATACCCTGCTGAAAAATAAAAAGGGCTGAGGGGATGGTTTAGGACGAAGGCTTGGGTTCAGGCCCAGCACAGGAAAAACAGAAAGGCACTGCTTTCCTGGTGAACCCATGGCAAACGTGGGAAGCAGCACTGCGTAGGGCTGCTGCTGCAGGTCTGCCGCCTCTGTGGCAGAGAATTAATTACAAAGGCGAGGCGCTGCGTGTTTCCGGGGGCAGCACTCTTACTGAGCGCAGGAAGTATCCATCTGGAAGAAAGTGGGGTCCAGGAACAGCTCCAGCACTTCCTTCTTCCAGGCCCGCTTCGTATAGGCGTAGCCGCTCAGCGAGCTCAGCAGTTGGGCGCTGGCCCGGAAGCTGGGTGCGTTGTAGGCACTGGACAGGGCAGAGGAGAGGGCTGGGGTCAGGGATGAGTCACCCCTCACAGAGTGCCGCTCCGCATCCACGGGGTGGGGTGGGGTGGTGGTGAGGGGCGGGGGCGACCTCACCTGTGGTTGCGTAAGTATGGAAAAATGTAGTACAGCAGGCGGGAGACCAGCGGCACAGCCTTGTCCTTCTCATCGCTGCGGTAAACCACATCCAGGAGAGAAGCCAAGACCTAGAGGGAGGGGCCGAAAAGACACAGAAACCTGGAGCAAGTGTCCTTCTTGGCCAGGGTGGTGGCGCACGCCTGTGATCCCAGCACTCAGAAGCCTGAGGCATGAGAATCGTTGCAAGTTCAAGACCAGCCTGGGCTACAGAGTGAGCTCAGGGTCAGCCCGAACTGCTTAGAGAGACCCTATCTCAAAAACACAAAAAACACAAAACAACCCCTCCACCCCCTCGCAAACCCAAAATGTCATCCTCTAAGTTGAACCTCAGAGCTAGTCTTGGTGCAGCCTGAGTCTGCTATCCTGGTATCTGGGCTGTCCCCAGAGTGTCATGGGACAGGCTTGGTCCCTAGCCTGAGGTGCCACAGGGAGGTGATGGGACGCCAGTGGGAGGAGGGTAGGTCACTAGTGGCATGTCCTGGAAGGGGACTTCCCCCTCATCCCCGTTACCATGCTGTGACGGCTTTGTTCTGCTGCACGCTTCCCACCTGCTGTAAGAGTCACTTTGCCATAGGCTGGAGACAAAGCCACACCAAACACAGAGCCATCCCCATCAACCAAAGCTCCTAAAGCCGTGAACCCAAATAACCTTTCCTCCATTTAAGCTGATTCTCCGGGGTATTTCGTTACAGCAGCAAGAAGCTAACACCAGGCCCTCACTGGAGCTCAAAGCACCTGACACCGCAAGTGTTTTATGAGGGGCCACAGGGTGGGTGTGCATTTACCTCCGCCAGAAGAGACAGTGCTTGCACGCTGTAGACCGAGGGTGCGGATGCTGACACCATAGCTGAAGCCACAGCAGCATCTGGTGACAGAAAAGAGTGTGTTTAATCACGGCAGTGGTCCCACTACCGTCCCCAAACATCACAGGACCCGGAGTTCTGTGTCTGTGAACAGCAGGCCTGCTGCCCTGGTAACGTCTGACTTCAGCCCTGGTCCTCTTTCCAGGATGCTTCAATGCTACTCTGGGTCATTCGTGCCTCCACCCTAGACCTCTTCTCTCCCAACCACCACTCTGCTTGGGTCAGCTGCTCACTGTCCCTGTCATACTGCAGCCCTGCCAACTCCCCAGACCTCTTCTGCAGCTCTGTCCTCCCTGGCGCCTTCCTGGGCAGCCTACCTCCCTGAGTCTTCCGTTATCTGGACCCCTCACTCCTCACCTGCTGCAGGGACAGCCGTGCTCTCCCACTGCCTGACAAGCATCCTTGCCTCTTGCTAGCCCTCTCTGCTTGTCGGTCCCAGGCTCTCAGGCTCAGAGACCTGGTTCCTGGTGGTGACTGGAAGATGGGCGCTACCTCTGGCTTGGGGTTGGGAGGTGGGACCTGGTCAGAGGAGCATCTCTGGGGGCATGGCCTGGAAGGGCAAATCCTCCTCTCCTGCTCTTCCCTTCTCCCCCTGCTCCCTGGCTGCTGCGATGGGAGTAAAGCCACGTAGTCCTGGGGCCTCCAGCCAGCCGAGTGTGGACTGAGACTCCAGAGCAGTGAGTCTAAATTAGTCTTTCCTTCTAAGCAGTCCGTGTCAGCCACAAGGACGGTGACTGGGACACCTCACTTTCTTCTCCTTTCCTCTGAAGAACTCACTTAGTAAAATGTACTAAGAGAATTGGATAAAACCAATTCTCTTCCTGACATCTGAATACGGTTTGTCTCCTCCCAAACACGTGTTGAAATTTAGTGCTGCTGGTGGTGGTGTTGAGATGTGGCATCTTTAGGAGGTAATTTGGTTCTTATGGGGCATGAATATGTTTTTTTGAGAGTAGGTCTTGCTGTGTAACCCTGGCTGGCCTGGAACTCAGAGATCTTCCTGTCTCAGCCTCCCAAGCCCTAGGATCACAGGTGTGGCCCGGCCTGAGGGTTATGGCTACTTTTCTTGTAGGGCTGTGCTAGTTCACCCAGGGAGACTGAAGTGTTAAAAAGCGAGGCTGCCACTTCTGTTTGGTCCCTTTCTGCACATGCCTATTTGTTCTTCCGCTTTTCTGCTCGTTATGATGCAACACAAGGCCTCCCAGAAGCAAAGCAAAATAAACTTTTTTTAGGAATTAACCAGTCAGCAGGCAGGCCAACAGGGCAGAGGACGCAGCATCTGGAAGCCCCGTCTGTCTCATGCTCACTGTGGCCGATGTGGATACATCAGCGAGGCAGTCGGACAGCAGAAGCGGGTGTAGGCTGGGGCCTCAATTTAGGGCCTGCTGCCCACAAAAGCATGGTGTGTGTTCTTCCTCAGCCCACACCGTCCCATGCAGAAAACCAGGCTCGTCAGTGAAGCCTGGCCACCCTTGCCATAGGACCCAAAGCTACACTAGATGAGAGGACGGACTCCGGGGACCACCACAGAGGCACGGAGGACACATGAGCACCTGGCCCATCATGTTAACAGTTAAACTCGCCATCTCTGTTTTCTTCATCACCTGCAGGTCCCCTTTACAACTGCAGCACCTGTCTTTCGCACCAGGACGGGGGTGCGGAGGAAAGAGTGCAAGAGCTGCTGGGAGTCGCCAGCTACCCCTTCCACAAGGGCCAAAGGTTTGCACAGAAAGAGAAAATACCTTTTGCAACTGCGTCCAGGTTCAGTATGAACTCCTGGACTTCAGTCCACCCCTGCAATTGTGTACACGAATAAAAAGGTCCTGCTGTGGGTTTTGTTTCTGTTTTGCTGGGCAGGCACTGAACCCAGGACCTTGTCTCTGAGCTACACCTCCGGCCATTTTTAAGATTTGAGACACGGTCTTGGAAAGTGCCATGAGGATCTTTATTTGCCGTCTTCTTGCCTCAGCCTCCTAGACTGCTATGATTACAGGTACACAACAGTGCACACCCTCCTGCCTCGGCCTCGCAGACTGCTGTGGTTACAGGTATGCAGCACTGCACCCAGCTACTGCCGTTCTTTGCTGATGAACCAGAGGGCAAGCCTGTCTCATCCGGCTCAGGCTGAGGCCCCTCGGCCCTCTCCCCTCTTCAGCTGGAGCTCTGCCTGCCTGCTCACAGTTCTCGGCCTGGCTTTTCATTTCTGTTATCTCTGGGTCAAAGGAGGGTGAGCCAGAACCACTGGGATGCCTGGCTGACCGTGATCGGCACTTCCGGCCACCCCCACCTACCGCACAGCTCCTCCTCCATGTCCGATTCTTCTAGAGTGACTTGTGGCTGGGCCTTCACCTCCAGGTTCCTACTGAGCCAGCTGGTTTGTTCCAATGACGAGCCAGCAATGTTCCCCACAGCTTCCAGGATCTTCTGAGTGATCTCCTGAGACCCACAGAAGAGGAAAGGAAGTCAGTTTAGGACAGGAAGTGCAGGGCCTAGGTAACTTCATCCAAGAGCAGAATGCAAGGCATGGCCACGGCCATTCCTAGGAGCAATGTGAAATGGTAAAAAGGAACACAGGCAAGGAACCTTACTAACATTTTCTATTTAATCCAATTACTACAACACAGTCAATAAAAATGATTAATGTGATTTTACACTTTTTTTTTGGACAGGATGTCATTTGTAGTCCTGGCTGGTCTTGAACTTACTGTTGCCCAGGCTGACCTTGAATTTACAGCAATCCCCCTGTTTCAGCCTCCCAAGTGCTGGGATTACAGGCATCCCTTGCCCAGCTCAAGAGGCCACTGATTTTTGGTCTTTTTGAGACAAGGCTTTGCTATACAGTTCAGACTAGCCTCAAACGCACATCAATCCTCCTGCCTCAGCCTCCCAGTATTCAGATTACTTACAGGTGTGGTGACACTATGCCAGCATTTTTTTTTCTTGAGACAGGGTCTTACTATATAGCTCAGACTGGCCTTGAACTCCGTATGAGCCTAGACCGATTGCCCTGTTTTTTAAAATTAGTTAAGTTTATCAGTATGTTTTAAGTATACACAATGATCATACTCATCGTAGAGAATCTGTATGTGTACATGACACATCTTCACTGGTTTTGACCAAGCTGCCTGCACTGGTTCCAGTGGGCCAGGTCACAAATCAGAATGGAGACGCTCAGGTTAGCATTCAGCTCAGCAAGTGCTGAGAAATCAGGACGAGAGAGACAACAGCTGAGTTTGTGACACAGGCCTGCCGGTGGGCCAGATAGCGAAGTCCCCTGTGCCTTAATCTCTGCACAAAAAGGAACCTGAAGTAACCTGATGTTAACCAAGTAGGGTTTTTGGTCATTATCTGCCTCCTCGTGTCCTTCTTTACAAGGAAGAGCACTCTGGAAGGACTGAAACACATTGCTGTTCCTCCCCCTGCAGCCCTCCTCGGTCTGCAGACCAAGCCCTATGCAGTGCTCAGCCTGGTGGGATACTGATTCTGTTTTGCAGAATGAATGCAGTGTTGCCTGATTCTAGAATCTCAAGACAGGCAATCAAACTCTTTGAACAAAACAGTTGTCATTTTGTCTTTTAGCTCTAGAAATGTGTCTTTCCACAATATAAAAATAAAATTAAACAAACTGGAGGAGGGGGTGCAGGGAGGCAAGGTGCTCCCCACGATCTGGAGCATCACTCATCAAGAGTGAGGTCAGTAGCTGGACAGAGCTGGCAACCTGGTAGGGTCATAGCTGGGAGCAGCCGCTGGGTGTCCTAGCCCGTGCAGCTCTCATTGTGGACAGCAGCCCTGAAGGCAGGAGCAGGCTCGCAGGTGTGCTGGTGACATCTTTAGGGGAGGGGAGAGCTGACCCAAGGCCCTGGGAGCAACTGTTGAAAAATGCTTAACTGCTCTTTTCTCTCCCAGGCAAGCAGCTCCTAAATCGTGCCCCTTCCAGAAGGACAAGTACCTTCTGGGACGGGCAGGGCTGACCCGGGCAGGAGGCCTCCCAAAGGGCTTTATGACGGGGCCGTCCTGGCAAGGTCAAGGCAGAGAAGGGGCCTCCCAGCTCCAGGAGGGAGAGAACTGGATGGGGTCAGTCATGCCTTCATCATAAAGCTGCATGAAAACCGGGTAGGCTGGGTTGGGACAGCTTCCCTATACTGGAGGTTGGCACCTGGTTTCGGGTCCACTCTTTCCCTGGAGCTGTCCAGGCTGCCAGGACAGTAAAGTAGTACATGTTTTCCTGAGTTCTGTGCGCTGCTCTAGTGAATCAAGTCCCATGCCATTTTATATCAGGGGCCTGAGCACCTTTGGAAGTTGGGGATGGTGGGTGGGGTCCTCAAACTGAGGGATGCTACACATACATGTTTAAATCACTGCCTCTGATGAAAAGCCAAGTGATGCTGCTAGCAGTGGCAAAATCCTGATTGCTAACTCCCTTGTGACATCCATGTTCATTAGGTGACAATCTAACAGGAAGATTTTCTGTGCTCCAGATAAGTTTCGCCTTTGTTTTTCAGTGTTCTCAATGAGCTTATATTGCATTTACAAGAAGGGAAATGAAAAGTGCTTAAGGAAAAGCATTCTGTGCACCCAGTGTCTGCTCCCAAGTGAGCCTGCAGGCTGCAGCCCACAGGAGGGCCAGGGGGCCTGCCCCACTGCGGGCCCCTCAGGGCGGAGTCAGGGGGATGCAGCAAAGTTTCTTCCTGGCAATGACATCTCAGGATGGACATCACAGCTGGGATAGATAACGACACTGTGCTAAAAACCCCTCCCCACACAGACCTGCAGGTCTTTTTGATCCTTCTTGCTTTCTAGGTTGGGTGTTCTGGTTACAAAGTCATTCAGCAGGCTGTGGAGAGACAATCAGCTTCCAATCAGAAATACTGCAGAAACAAAAATCCGCTCCAGCAGAACAGCAGGTCCACAGGAAGGCCAGAGGTGATGATACCTGAGGAGCAGGAAGTACCCCGGAGGGGCCAGGTTCAGCTGCACGGATTCCTTCAGGACGCCCAACAGTGAGAGAAAGTTTTCCTGCAAGGCTGATACTGGGAGCCTGTTTGAAAAAATTGAAAAAAATACTTGAGCACAGGCAAAGGAAAACACGACACCACTGACAAGCACATTTTAGATCTAGGAGTTAGAAAGCAGAGGGGAAACAGCATGACTGACTTGTTTCTTATTTTTTGATTGGGTGATTGAGGCAGGGTCTCACTATATAGCTCGGGCTGACCTCGAACTCATGACAAACCTCCTGCCTCAGCCTCCTGAGTGCTGGGATTATGGGTATATGCCATCACACCCTTGTTCTTAAGTTACAATATAGCTAAACTCAATTTTGGTACAGCAGCAGGCATTTGGGAGTTAGGAGACCTGGATACCAAAATGTGTGATGTCTTGGTTTATTCTATAAAATAAAAGGCTCACGCCAGAGGATTGACTCTGGCCTTTGTAATGTTCTGCTTCCCTGACAGATGCATCATCTGGCAGCAGGCTGCAGACTGGGAGGACAGGGATAGCCCTAGGAATCTGTCCCAGGCCAGGCCTCCGGAAGCCAGAGCCAGGAGGAAGTGAGGTCACGGCTGCCGAGTCACACAGCATAGCACTAGTCTGCTGAAGCCCAGATGCAGAGTCTGGGCTGTGTCCTGGGCTCCAGCTCCAGCTCCAGCTCACTGCCTCCAGTGACACCCAGCCAGCACCCTGGGCTGCAGGGCAGATGATGCAATAAGGTCCTCTCAGTTACTGGGCCCCCTCAGAGATCATGGAGGCCTCTCGGACTACAGTGTGTTAGTACTGTGACACTGCTTCATGAGGAAGGCCTGGTTCACCTTTAATCTTGGAGGACAGACATGTAGGGCTAGCGAGTGACAGCTGGGTCTGAATTTACACCCAGACCAAGGGGACCCGGGGATCCTGACCCTCATTGTGCTGCAAGTGCAGAATGTGGGGTATGTGGGGTGTGTGTGTGTGTGTGCCCGTGGAGCTGATAATGTCAGCGCCCATCATTTACTGCAACAACCCTGGTGGACCCGGAGGTGCCCAACGCTGGCCTGAGAGCACATCTGTGTCCTATTCTTCATTCACTGCCAGCAAGAGGGCTGCACCCACAGGAGGGCTTTGGGAGCTGAGCTTGCTAAGCTGCCCTGGTTTGAGTTGGAGGAGCCCGGATAGGGCCTCATCTGTGTAAGGGGATCCCTTGCTGTGCATACTGACCTTGGGACCCTTCATGTGTGACACCCTCTGCACACACCCTCCGTGATGCTGTGAATGCCACTAAGTCTTCAACACACAGCACACAAATTTTAAAATGTCAGGTGAGATCCCAGGAGAAGGAAAAGTAAGGCAAACTCTAGCCAATCTTGTGTGTTACCTGAGGAGGCGCCCTTTCTAAAGCTCTGTTACTGTCATGGTCACTGCCCAGCCGTGCCCACTTGAGGCTCATGAAAGGCTCGAGGGGCTGTTACCTTTGCAGAAAAGCGTAGCAAAACTGCAACACGGGGATATCCACGAGGAGTGATTTCTGAAAAGTAAAGCAAAACTCATGGCTCCAGGTCAGCAGTGCATTCAGCTATCAAAGAATTTTTTTTCTTTTACCAGGGATCAAACTCACAAACATGTGCTTGCAAGGCAGGCACTTATGCTGTGAGCTAAGTCTCTGGCCCCAAAGAATTTAAATACAAAATGAAGCAACTCTGTATTCTGTCTGGAGAATCTTCAGAAAACATCACACACGGTAGCACCCCTGGAGAACAGCCAAAGCAGTACGTCCTGAGGTCTCAGATGCTACCCCCTCGGGGCCAAACATCATAGTGACTTTCCACTCTGGTGACCTCTGTCCATCCAGCATTCCCATGGGTGCCCAGGAAATGTGGAAGTAAAGCTCCCTAAACAGAGCTAGGGCCAGTGTACCCTCACATGCCTACAATTACTGAGAGGAGATAAGGAAAAAATCCTTGTCCTTCAGAGTCCCTCACACTCAGCCCAGATCATGTCTAGAAACTGCTTCCAAAGCACTTCCCCCGGCCCGAGTACAGAAAAAGCCACTTACACAAACTGGACCAAGGAACCAAGCTAACCACAAAAAGAAGTTTCACTACTGGAAAAATCCACCGGCCAGACAAGACCTAGTTCCTTTATTGGTCCAGACAAAGCAGGACTTGCAGTATCCGAAATCCAGACTTTCAAGAGGAATGAGAGAAGCAAACCCTGAAGTGTCCTCTGTCCCCTACATAGCAGGCCCTCCCCTGTGTAAAGGGGTCACTTCCAGCACCGGGTGCTCCAGCACCTGACTTGCTCAGAGTCCAGGTCACTTATCATGGAGGATTCCTGTGGCCTCTACCCCGCTAAGCTGCTGCTCCACTTGTCTAACAGTGACTGCAGCTGGGTGACCTCATGACCTTGGAATGCTTGGGACAGAGCTTGACAAGTGCCCTGGGTCCATGTGCATCTGACTGTCAGGCGCCTGACTGGTCCCATAATCCAAGTTCACAGTGTAAATTGGACCGTGGCTTTACTGACCAACCTGGAGTAAGTGACCTAGCACACGGAATGTCTTCACTGTTGAGTGTCCCCACCTCTTGGTGCATATGGCTCATCTGTCAGGACACTGGGGTGAAGGGAGGGACTGGGGACCCTGAGCCAAGTGGCCGGCTAAGCCCACCGAGGCCAGGCCCCAGGCTCAAGGCACCTCTGGAAAGCAATGTCCTGTGCTGTGTTCAAGAGACCCTTTGGAAGGAAGCAAAACAGGACAAGATCCATGAGGATGGCAGGGCTCCTTCATGGCACATCTATGAAAACTGCTCCGAGGGCTGGGCACGTGGCTCAGGGGTCCAGCACTTACCTAGCATGTGTGAGGTCCTGGATTCAATCTCTAGGTGTGCAAAACCATAACAGAACAGAAAAAAAAACAACCTAATAGCTTGGTGTGGTGGTACATGGCTGCAGTCCTAGCTCTTGGAGGCTGGGGTAGGAGCATGGCCTTGAGTTTGAAGCCCACCTTGGTGGGCTACATAGTGAGTCAAAGGCCAGTTTGGGCTACACAGTAGGATACTGTCTCAAAAAGACAAAAAAAAAAAAAAAAAACCAAAAAACAAAACAAAACAAAACATTGCCCCCCACCCCCATATTCTGAGGTCAGTTTTCCCACTATAAGGTTGAAAAAAATGGAGGAAAAATTTCTGATCCCAAAGGCTTTAGCTTTGTTCACCAAGCCCAGGGATATGCGATAACCAAGATGTGTGCATTTCTTACATTACAGAACACTGTTACTATGGCAGAATATATGTAACAAACAGATGTTTATCATGCTCATCACACTGCTGTGTAACCTGCACCACCAATTCTCTCCTAACCATGCATGTGTTAAGCCCCGCCCCTCCCGGCAGCTGGCTTTCTTTCTCTCTGACCCTGACTGCTCTGGGTACCTCACTGCAGGGGACTCCACTGGCACCTACCCCAGACAGGTTGGTTTACCCAATGCAAAATTCTCACAGTTCCCTGGGCAGGGCAGGGCAGGGCAGGGCAGGGCAGGGCAGGGGTCCCTTCCTTTCACAGCTGACACCGTCCTTCCTACTGCACACCTACATCTCATCTCGTATCCATCTTCGTGCAGGGGGCTTGCTTGGGCTGTCTACCTTTGGCCACTGTTAATGATGCCAACAGCTATGATACTGTTGACAAATGTCTGTTTGAATGACACGTGTATTTCTTATAATTTCGCTGATTTCCCAGCTATAGTTGTGAATTAGTTTGCAGAAGGCATATATATCAAGGTTGAAATTATTTTAAGGCATTTATATGGGGTCTCTAGAGCAGTAAAACTCAAAGTAAATCTTTGTTTTCTATCAGGTTTGTCAATGAAGAGCCAATGACCTTTTACACTCTCGGGGAGGAAGGTCTGGTCTGCTTAAAAACAAGTGTCTGAAGACACAGGAATACCGAACCACCAAGGCTGTCCTGCCCCATACCTGCTGTGTGGACCTGAAGGAGCTCTCTCCTTTCCCCTCCAGCAGCACTGGGGATTAGGTCCAAGGCCTGGCATCTGTTAGGCAATTGCTCTGGGGCTGAGCAGGTGAGTCTCATGCACTTGTCTGCGCTGGTCTTGAGTCTCCTGGCTCAGCTTCTTGAGCAGCTAGGATTGCAGGTGTGTACCACCGTGCTGGACTGAACCTAGTCTTGACACTACGGGGCCCCCTGGACCACTGTCAGAAACAGCGAGGTGTAACCACAGTTTGAGCACAGCCTTGTTTCACCGGTAAAACTTCATTCTTCTTGAGACCTAGCAGGGCATTTATTTTATACACAATTATGCAAATTTTCCAAATTCTAGCTTGCCTTCTCTGAGCCTTCCAGACCAGGCCTGGACAGTGGCCTACAAGGACAACAGCTCCTGGCAGAGTGCTGCCTCACTTCTGCTTCCCAGAGCCCAGCCCTCGAGCAAGCGCCTGCCCTTGAGGTCTCCCTTGCTGGATGAATTTGCTGTTGTTCGCACCCACACCTGGTCACAGGCTCCTTACTCCTCTCCTCAGAGCGTCTGCTATGAACAGCTGATCTCTCACGCCAGTCAGCAAGGCCAGGCTCACCTGTCATCTGATCTTCTGTCATCTGCCCCTCACCCGACTCCCTGCTGCAGTCCCAGTCTGTCTTCTCCCTTTAATCACTGCCACACAAACCGGAAGTGGGCCCTGTGTCTGTGCCAGTGTGGCAGTCACCCAACCCCATCCACCATCGCCACCTCTCACCAGGGTCTGGCTGGTTTGTCACTGACACCCGTAGGTTGTAAGCTCCTTGAGGACAGTGACATTCCCTCTTCCTAAAGTGTCCCATCAAATGTGTAGAAGGTGCCAAGAACCATGCTTCAGGCAGAGTGCACTGCGGAAGGGACACTAGGCACAGAGAGCCGGGCCTGAGGCTTTGGGGTCTCCCCTAAAACACAGCAATGACACCCCATTTCGCACTCCTCCGAGGTCCTGCCTGTGCCCGCTTCCTGTAGTTCCCTCCTGAACACAACCTACAGGAAGTGGCATTTGAAAGAGCGCCCCATGAGGTGGCAGATCCCTGGAGGCAGCTGTTAGGGCCCCTTGGGCCTCACCTCGTTGGCCTTGATCTGCTGTGGCCTCCTTACCACCTCCTTCACCAGGTGCAGCACCGTGTCAGTCCGCAGGGTGCTGAGCGCGCAGACCAAGTCAACAAGGGTGAGCTGGGTCACGCTCGCAAGCGGGATGATCTGCGAGGGAAACAGAGACCCCGGAGAAAAAGAAACTGTGCACAAAGGATTCCGCATGGCAGTCCCCAGGGAAGGGATATGCTTTGATCCTTTAAACAAGTATTTCCTATTGGACTGGATGATTCTCCCAAGGGAACATTTGCTCTATACTGTATTACTATACCCCATTGCAGAAAACCCCAAGTGCAGGAGGCAGAGGTGGTCCGCTCCCTCCCAGGGCCCCTTGCCCCTACAGCTCTGTCCATGCAGAGGACACCAAAGGCCCAGTTTCACTCTTCTCCCCTGAGGTTTTACCTTAGTCTTACTGTGACGCGGGGCTTTCTTTCGGCTCCACACTGCTGCCACCGCAGCTGTCAGCTGAACTCCGAGATGGGCTGTCAAGGGGTTTAGGAAATCTAGAATTTTTTGTCTTATGGTCTTAAAAAATAGAAAGAAAAAAAAAAGATATTAGAGAGTAATGTCAGGGCTTGCATGTCATAGAGATTTAACCACTGCAGATGCTGTGTGAGGGTCTCCACACCATCTTGGCTGGGAGGACCTGGAAGAGAAGAAGCAGGCTGTGGGGTGGAGACCTGGCACATGAGCTGTTGGGGTGGCTTGGGAGGTGACAGGTGCCATCCCACCTGAGGTCTCACAGTGCGGGAGACTGAACCGGGTCTCGTGTATGCCAGGCAAGCTTCACACACTGAGCACATCCCTGGTCCAGGCCAGGCTGGAAGGAGCAATAAACGCACAGCTGAGAGGGGACAGTGGAGATGCAGCCAGGCAGGGCGGCCCTCTCCCTCCCTGGAACCCTGAGGCTGCAGCTGGGCCATGAGTCTGGTGAGTGCCTGGGGCTGGGCTGTGGGTCGGATTTTCACTCAAGGGGAAGGAGGCGTGCAAAGAGTACAGGTGAGATAGGAACGTGGACCATCTCCTCACAGTGAAGGTGATCTCCATAACGAAGGTACTGCAAATATGGGTAATAGAAACACAAATATGAAAGAAAAAGGACATTTGATTTGCAACTAGAAATAAGCACCGTTTAATTAACTGTATTATCCAATAAAGAAAAAAAATTTTGTTGTTTTGAGACAGCATTTCACTACATAGTTCAGGGTGGCCTTGAACTCATGGTGATCCTTCTGCCTAACCAGTTTAAATTGGGGCATGTGCCTGGAGCCTTCCAAGGCAGAAATGTGAAAATCAAGGGGCAAACACTAGAAAGGCTGTGTGCTTGGCATAATTATAAACACTCAAGAGTGCCCCAATGTTCCATCCCAAGGGGCCCAGGTTTCAAAGGCGCCTCTCGGAGCTGAACCAAGAAATCAGCAATGTTTTAGCAAAAATTCTGTAAAAGATAAAGAGTGCTTTGCCTGGTTCATGTTTACTAACCTCTCCCAGGAGCCCTAGTTCACAGAACCAGACTCGTGCTGAGGTTAGGCTCCAGGGGGGGAGGTGGCTGTGAGGCAGGTTTTCCTGAATTATGGCCCCAAAATGTCAAAAGGCCATGGACTAGGGACAGGAAGGTGGAGGGGGAAAAGGAAGCACACGGGGTGCTGGGAAGTAACAGTGCTGATGGGACAGACTGCTGGGACACTGTACCCCGAGCCCAGGCTGTGGGGGTGCCTACGAGTTAAGAATAAAAGCCCACAACTTCTCAGCTCCAACACCCATCTCAGCTCACACTGGCACAATGGGTTAAAGCCTGCTTCCGCTGCCTCTAGAGCCAGATTCATTGGGTCTGAACAAGTAAATGTATTTCTCAAAAGTTCTTCACAGACTCAGATAAGGACGTCAAGTACCCCACGCTCACCTAACCAGAGACTTTATTCTTAACTATTAAAATCAAAGTGAGGGGAGTAGAGGGCACAGTGGTCATGCCTATAATCTCAGCACTCAGGAGGCTGAGGCAGGAGAATCACAAGTTTGAGACCAACTTAGACTATATAGCAAGTTCATGGCTAGCCAGGGAAAGAATACTGCCTCCCCAAAAGAAATAGAAAAATATAGGTTGAAAGCACTCAGATTCATGTTCCACGTATACTCACAAAGCTCAGAAATAAACTGGGGCTTCTATCTCTGATGTCTACCTTGGGTTTCATGGAGCACTTTTAAATATTTAGGGGTCTTGCTCTGTCACCCAGCCTGGCCTTGAACTCACTGTGTGCCCCAGGCGGCTTGATGTTGCAGTGATCTTCCTGTCTCAGTCTCCCTTGTGCTTGAATGATGGGGATGTGTCACTAAAACTGGCTCATGGAGCACATTTGTTCAATTATTTGTGTGAACCTTCGGTACATATTTAACTTCGGGGGATGGAAGACAAAGCAGATGATAAACCCAAGAAGGGCCCCTCTCACCTTGGTGCTTTTGAAGTAGACAGAAGAGGACCCCTTGGTGGCCCCCAGGAGGTCTGTGGGCCTCTTCTGCATCTCCTCCTTTCTTAGCATGTTCCAAAGAAGGGCCATGGTGTTGATGATGCGTGGCAACTCTTCCAAAATGGCGTTCTTGGCGTTACGAAGGCTGGCAGGGTCGCTTACCACTGTGGACTAAGAGGTAAAAAGGACTCGTGAGCTCCCCACTTTGGTGACTGTGTCCTGCCACAGGGGCAGCAGTGCTGGGGGACCTGTGCACATCAGCCGGAGGCCACTTAGGCAGACAGCCAGCTGGGAGCCCAAACTACAAACTATGAAACTCAGCCTTAGCTTTAGCTGTGTCTTAAGATTTGACCCCGTCAGGGTAGGACAACTAACAGCTACAGGGTCATCCAACTCAGATTTCACTAACACCTTGACAGCAAATAAAAAACACACTAAATAAAACACAAATGGAAGTCTAAAGTCAAACAGGCAGCTTTTCATTTTATCTCATGGTTACTGAAGGAACAACAGGCAAAGGCCCAAGAGCCCATCTCCGGGAAACGAATGCCAGTGAGGCCAAAACCACAGGTGCATCACTTACACATGTATTCGCATACAATTTCAGCATGCAGACACATTTACATAACCAGCTCATTTGCATAATATATGCACATACTTTTGCATACATATTTGAATCACCTAATTACATCTGTGTATGCATTGTCACTGGGTGCGTATATTTGCAGGCACATCTGCATTACTTGCACATGTTATTTAATGATAATAATTATAACTTAAAAAAAAACAAAGCAGCATAGGAAAATTGCCTCAAACTTTCAGGAAAAAGAAAACGTACCTTTTTGCTTTGGTTCGGTTGCTCCAAAACACAAAAATGACAAATAGTTGTCAGACCTTCCAAAAGGGTGAGTGGATAATCCGGAGAAATGTTTTCCTTCTTGGAGGTTGTGCTTTGGTGAAAAAATTAGAAACCAATTTTGAGAATTTTTAAGGATGAGGCCATAAGATTTTTTAATTCTACATATAACACAAAAGCCAGAAAGAGGCCATTCTATTAAGTGAATAGGGTTCCAAAAATAAAACATTGTAAGAATGACAGACTTCCGGAGCCAGCTGTTGGCACACAACTGTAAGCCCAGTACTTGGGAGGACATGAGTTCAAGGCCAACCTGGACTACACAGTGAGATTCTCCAAAAACCTAGGGACCTCTAGTATTACTATATGGTCGACCTTCATAGAGTCACTTTGGAAAGATGGTTTAAGATGCGTTAGAGTTTCTGTGAATGCTATTTGTGTTTCCCATTTCTGTTTTGCAAAACTCAGAGTAACTGATACTAAGCTAGCTTGGGTAGCTGTGTGAAATTAAAGATCTGGACTTGTACTTCCTCTTGACCCCTTTACAACATGAAACAGGCAGATGACTGGGCTGAATTACCCCACAAATGACATCCACAGCAAACCAGCCATTCATTCCAAAACTCATTAAGACAAAAAGATGCTTTAAAAAGCCAGGTATGGTGATTGATGCACAGCTGTAATCCTGGTACTCAAGAAGCTGAGCCAGAAAGATGGTTGCCCATTGGAGGTCAGCTTGAGCTACATAAGATCCGGTGTCAAAAAAAGGTTGCCTCTCAAAATTCAACCTACCTGATGGAGAGCTTCACAGATTCACTTTCATATAACTTGACCAGCTCATCCAGGTTTTTGCAAATCTGGACAACGAAGGGAGTCACCGTCCAGCCCAGAGACTTCCCAAAGTACGGCAGGGAATGCGTGACCAGGCTCACCCAGGCTGGGTGCATGCCGTAGCCATAGGCTGGCTGCAGGCCTCGAACCACTGCCGAGACCAGCAGACCCTGGGAGGTGAGCGGGTGGGGCTGCACGTACTGCATGGCGCCGATGGCCTGCTGGAAGTTCAGTGCCTTCTGCCACTCCCGGGACAGGGCCTGCTGGCTGTCAGGCTCCTCCTGGCCCTGGCCCAGGCGGTGCTCTAAGACAATGAGCGCCTGCAGGAGCTTGAGCAGTTCGATCTGTAGCGGGTGCTCGCTCCAGATCTGGCCCTGGCCCAGGTTGATGAGGCTCTCCTCAAAGAGGCCATCCTCTGTTGGGGCCCAACCCTGGTCGCCGGTGGCCAGGCCATAGCGCTTCTGGCTCGTGTACATGGATGCTGACAGGGACAGCAGCACAAACTCCTGGACCCTGCACCTCTGCAGCAGGCTGTGGATGAACTCCACATTCTTCCCCTCTGAGGACTTGGCCACCGACACCAGCTGCGTCATGATGCGAATCAGCACCTCTACACTCTTGACCTGCACGTCACGGTTGCCCAGGATGTCCCGGTGGGAGACCTTCAGGTAGCAAGGGTAGTAGGAGCGCAGGAAACTCAGACAGAGGTAGGTGAGGAGCTCGATGAGCAGTGAGTGGGGGCACACGCTGGGTGCCTGGGTCTGCAGCTTCCCGTAGAAACTCTGGCCGACCAGGGCCTCCTGGTGGCGCGCGAGGAGGTTGGAGATGAGGTTGAGGTGTGCGGTGGAGCTGGTGTCCATGCTGGTCCTGGACACGGCCTCGATGAACTCCTTGGGATTGGTTTTGAGCACGGCCTCCAGCACGGAGAGGGCATACAACACGCGACGGGAGTCGTAGGGCTGCAGGTAGAGCAGGATGTGCTTGAACAAGGCCTCGAGCGACTCCTGTCTTTCCCTCTGCTGCTTCAGTAGCCGTGATGTGTTCAGGGCCTGGAGCTCCAGGTCCCCGTCCTCGTCACTGGACAGTGACTCCGAGGCCTGCGTTTTATCTGAGTCTGTGCGCGTCAGGCTCAGTTTGGCCTTGGGCTTGAGGCTTTCAGGCTGGAAGGCTGCCAGCAAGGCCGAGCGTGTGGGGTGCACCCTGCCCCCCACAGGGAGGGGCGCACAGCAGTTGTCTTCAAGGCTCAGCTCCTGCGGGTTGTGGGATGGGGAGGAGAAGCTGGATGTATTCTTGCTGTCCCAGTGGCTGGAGCTCGTGTCTGCAGACTCGGTGTGCTCGCTGCTGTCTGGGGAGCTGGGGGCCACCCTCTCCGGGCGGCCCATGTAGCAGGACAGGTCCTCCTCACTCAGCTCACCATATGGCAGGCACTTCTCTGGCTCCTTCTCCACCTCGGCCCAGATGGCTTCACGATCCACCGTGGTGAACTGGCTCAGGGGCAGGTGCTCTTCGCAGTCACTTTCCACAAGCTCAGATGCCCCGCCTGCCTCTTTGAAGGAAGGTTTCTTTCTGTGAAACCAACGATACAAGTCCCCTGAAAACCACAAGATGACAGGGGACTTTAGAACAGAAGGGTTAGCGAGGAGAACTTCACTCCAGCGCGATGGCATCAGAAAGATCAATGTTAATGGCACCACATGAAACCACCTCAGCAGAGCCTCAAGTACAGGGTGGACAGGAGCCTGGCCAGGGAAGTGAGCAGCTCACTCAGGGCTGGGGAGTTTAGTTATGGTCTCACAGGACTCATTTCAGGTATCATTACTTTTGTGGGGAAGCAATCTGGAGAAGTAACTATGATTTTTATCTCGGTAATTCCCTTCCTGGACGTGTCTCCCTAGGAATGTCAACAGAAAGTTTCAAAGCTGAGAACCGCACAAGGGTAGCCACTGAAATGTCACATGTGGACAAACTGGAAAGGAGGGCAGAAGATCCATGGAGTGGGCCAAACGCATCTGTGATAGTGCATGCGTGTGACAGTGAAGTTCATGAGTGTTTGTGGGTGTTCTTTCTTGCACCCAGGCAAGCAATATGCAGGACACAGTGATGCATGGAGGGGTGGCCAGGCTGCGGACCAACTGTGCCCTTCGGGGGAATCTACCAAACGGCCATGGGAAAGGTGGTAGTGTACCCGCCCCACCACTCATAGGGCCAAGTCCCCGGCACTACCGGAGACTCTGGTTACACTTTTACCTGCTCCTTCTTCCAAATTTGAAAGCAACCACGTTAGCATTTTGCAGCCAATACTTTTAAATATTCAAAGAGATGCAGGTCCCAGAAGTCTTTGACACAGCCCACCATTTTAGTAGGCGCTTTCAACAAATCTATGTCAGGAACATTAAGCAAGAGCAGGAAAGGGGAAGAAATAAGATATCAGAAATGTGTGCGTTTCTTAAGTACACAGTAATATTTAAAAAAGATTTCTGTGAGATCCCAAGGCAGGGTGCCGAGACAGCAGACACGTAGTTTCCTCCAAGGGAAGAAAACAGCAGAGGAAATTTGGTCTCTCAGTTCGGGAGGCAGCAGATGGCCCCAGTGGTTGGCAGACTTTGGCAGAGATGGATGAAGGTTGGCAAGGCAGCAGGGGGGACTTTAACATCCCAAAGAACTGTGTGGTTGAAACTGCCTCTTGAAACATGGATGAATACTAAAACATGTGCCCCCCAGAATGCAGCCGTCAGAAGGTACCTGGGTTTTCTCCCTTGTTTAGAATGTGGAATCATTCTGCATCTCCTCTCTCCTTCCCAAAGGAAAACCACAGGTTGCAGGTACAGGCAAGAATGCTGTGAAGAGGCTGCGAAGACAGGGACAGTCCTCGCAGCCTGGTGAGCTAAGCAATCTGATTCAAAGCTTGTAAACTGCCCCACAGAAAAATGGTGAAGTATGAAACACAGCTGCTTGGGAGGGAGGGAGCACAGGCTCCTTCAGCTGCACCTGCGTGGGAGCCCGCAGACCGGGCCAGCTGTGACCTCTCACCTGGGCATGGGGAGATGGACTGGTGCGCAGCGAAGCCACAGCCACCTCAGGTGCCTTTGGTCCTTTCAGAGTCATTCACCTTCATGTTCAGAGCCAAACTCAGCACATCAGCATCTTGGGATTGGTCACTAAGCTTACCAGCCCCGACGCTCAGATACTTTGCCATCTGAAACCGTGGACGGGCTGCCCACTTCCTGTCTGACACCCCTGCTGATGTCATGGAGAAAGGTACTGATCTGTGACTCTGTTCTCTGAGTATAAAAACTCAGGTAACCTCGTCCGTGGTGGTGGTGGTCACAGTAATCTGGGGTCCCATTCACTCCATGGTCACAGTCGGTGCAGGATAAATTGTTCTCTTATTTCCTTTAAAGCAGGGCATCTATTTTACACTGATTAGGATAATGTTAGTTCACAAACTGCAGTACCTATCATTCATGAAAGTTTAAGGGACTAAATAAAGAAAAAAGCTTAAGGGACTGGCCAGGTTGATTTCATTTTGTAAAATTTTCCTTATTTCTACTTTATTCTTTTAAATACGTGTTTGAGTTGCCTCTGAAGTTCTGAAGATCGAAAGGCTTATTTCTCCTGCCTTCCTGATTATCTGATCAACAGGATTTTACAGTTGCAAAAAACCTTACAGAGCAGATAGAAAAAAAATTTATCTTTGTTATTGAAGGCTCATAAATAAGGTCTTTTCAGGTCTTGAACTCACTGTGTAGACCAGGCTGGGCTGGAACTGCTGGTGACCTTCCTGCCTCAGTATCCTGAGTTCCGAGATTACAAGTGCTCAGCACCATGCCTGGCTAGACAGGCAGTTTTTAAAGATAAAATACCACTGACCAGATGATGTGCAAACTTTGAGCTTTTTCAGTCACTCACATTTCCTATGTCATCCAGTCCCTGGTGGCCGCTGGATCCAGCTGGAGGTGCTACCAGGGCACCGAACACAGCCAATATTCTGCTCTTCTAGGTGGGGCAGCTGTCAGCTCTGGAGACCACTGCAGAGACGTCCTGCTATTTATTCTCTTTTTACTCTGCATCATGGTTTAGATCTCAGACATCCCCCAAATGTCTTGCATGTTCAGAGGCGGGGTTCGTGGAAGGTGAGTGAATCGTGGGTGCTGCTGAAGAACCCATTGATGAGCCCAGGGCTGGATGCGCTGCTAAGGGCGGCCCTGGCTGGAGGGTACTGCGGTAGGACCTGAGGCTGAGTCTCACGCAGCTCTGTCCCTTCCTCTGCTTTGGGGCTGTGGTACAGTGAGGAGATTTCCTCCTTGAAGCCAGTCCACCACCACTCTGCTTTGGGGCCAGCCAGTATTTTGGCTGAAACATTGGCCACTTATTCTTGTACTAATTTTTAAATAAACTAGTAATATATATTTATGGGGTACAATGTGTTGTGCTTCATGTGTGTACACTGTGGAATGATAAAAAAGATACTGGATCTCAACTATCATTTTTTATGAGGTAAGAACATTTCACAACTTCTCCTGTTAGCTGGATGTGGTGGCGCACGCCTATAATCCAAGTATTCTAAATGCTGAGGCAAGAGGATAAATTTGAGGCCAGCCTGGGCTGGACAGTGAGACCTTGCCTCAAAAGGAAAAAAAAAAAAAATCTGAATAGTGTCGGTCTGGCAAGCGTGAGATCCTGAGTTCAATTCCTAGTACCAAAAAAATTGATATCAAATCTACTCGCACTGAAGCAGAGAACAGAATGGTGGGTAGTAGAGGCTGGGAATGAGAGGGAAGGGGAAAGAAAAGATGTCTGGAAAAGGGCACAAAGGGTCATTCAGACTAGAGAAATTAAGTTTTAGTGATTTGCATGGTACGGTGACTACAGCTTGTAATATTGTACTGTGTGTTTCAAATTTTTTTCTTAAAACTAACCTGGCTTTGCAGTGAAAGCAAATGGCAGTTCTAAGTGATATCCTGGTGGTCCTTGTATACTTTAAGTCCTGTGAGTTGACAAGATTATTGTCACACTGTTTGAACCCAGCAAACACGCCCCAGCCGCGGCTGCTCACCGGCCGAGCTCTCCCGCTTCAGGCAGTGGATGGATGTCCTCTGGGTTTTGGGCTGCAGCAGCAGAAGGAGCACAGGTTCCAGGATGCGAGCCACGTCCCCCAGGGAGAGTGCGCGCACCAGCCAGCCCTGGGCCGCTGTGCTGATGGCGCCATCTGTGCAGCCCAGGCTGTCGAGCACGACGAACAGGGACCTGTGGGCAGGAGGACACTGCTGAGCCTGCGGAGGCCGGGGTTTCAGCCTTGGTTTCCTGTTAGAATCGGGGAGGGAACCGTTTAATCCCCAATGCCCAGGACTTGATCTGAACTGGCCACACTGGACTCAGGGTGGATTGGGCATAAGGACCCACTGGCATCTTTGAAAGTTGGAGCCTGGCTGCACTGCCAATCTCAGAGGTGCGGTGGGGCACACGGGAAGTGCGGGGGAATGGGCCTCCAGCCCAGCTCCCATCTCAGCCAGGACTCATCACCGCACATGTGCACAGTACAAAGGGCACCACTGAAGCCTGGACCACCCTGCCACCCCCCAGAAAGTTCTGTCAGGGCAAGTGAGAAAAGCAGCGTGCTCAGCCCGTGCTCCCTCCCTGCCAAACTCTGGGACCACTGACACCCACGCATGTGCTTCCAGCAAGGGCTCGCTCAAGCGCCTGGGCACCGTCTGCTGTGCAGCTGAGGGGCTCACCTGGTCTCAGTTTTCCGTCACTCCACCCCAGCTAAATATGCCAGCCAGGAGCCCCTGTGCAAAGGGTAAATCACCACAAAAAGCCGCCCTACCTGTCGAAGGAGCGATTGTGGGACGTCACTCGGCTGCCTTGGATCTCTCTGGTCAGGTGCCAGATCACAGAAAACCGAAAGAGAGCTTCCAACCTCGTGCCCTTGATGAGGAAGAAGCGGGAGTGAGGACCCCAGCTCCCCAGGCGACTCTTCAAATGCAGGAGGCCACGGTGGGCAGCCAAGGTGGACAGCCATGGTGGGCAGCCACATTGGAGACACCACAGTCTTGTGCAGGGCTTGGCCAGAGAAACAGAAACTCTGGCCTCCCCCGCTGTTCCTGTCTCTTTCACACAGACGCAGGTCAGTGAAGAACACAGAAAGTGTGGCCTCTGATAGTGTCCAGGGTCATGCAGAGGCCTGCAGGCTGAGTGCAGCATGGGCTGTGGTCTCCTGTGCCCTTTCCAGTGCCAGGACCAGGGCCCCGAGGAGTAGGACACACCTCATCCCTCAGTGAATTCCCAAGGGGCAGGGACATCTTGGCGATGGCCTGTTTAGTGAGCCTTCCTTGGAGATGGCTGCATGCAAAAGGTTCTGCAGGGCAGCACTGGAGCTGCTGGCCTGTGGTCTGGCTGAGCTCCACTCAGGTGTGACACACCTGCCTTGGCACGGGCAGCGGGGACAGTGTACACGGAAGGGCTCACCTTGTCAGGGTCCAGCAGCGCGTGGCAGATGATGTCCTCGCAGATGTTGGCCGATGGGGCCAGGCAGTGCAGCCGGTAGAACAGCTCCACGCAGGCCACGTGGTGCTCCCGGGTCTCCTTGTTCAGCTGATTCCACAGCACATGTGCCACCCTCTGCAGGAGAAGGCAGCAGTGCCTGCACCCTTCCTCTGAGTGTGGCCAAGCCCAGCTTCCCTGTCCTGCCTGGAGCCTGTATGTGCTCTGTGGGGACCCCTGACAACTAGAGCCCTGTGACCAACACACAACACAAGGCCAAACTCGCCTGGTTCAACTGGGAGCTTTCTGACCAGCTCGTAAGGCCATGGTGATTGCCGAGACTAAGGCTGCTTTCAGGAAGGGAACCCAGTGGGCAGCTGGAGACCTCGCTCAGTCAGCCTTGGCATCCCCAGTGGTCCCAGCCATTGGACACTCTTCGGTCACCCACACAGCACTGCACCCCTCCAGGGGATCCAGCTGTCACACAGACGGGAGAGTCACGGATTGGTGATATCGTCCCCACAGGTGCATCCCCTTGTGATGGGGTGGCCCGCTCACTTTCCACACCCAAGTCACACCTCAAATCAAGCAGTCCATCCCCCCAGCCCTCAGTTTAGCTCCTTAATCATGCAGGGTCTGCAGGAGCCCCAGCCTCTCCACACGTCCCAGGGTGCCCAGGTCAGGCCTGGCCCAGGGACCAAGCAAGTGTCTCAGAGATCCCCTGAGATTAAGAAACCAGTTAGTATTTCACAGACTGTAGTGATCCAGGCATGCATAAGCCTACATATTTTTGTGGGACTGATTGAGTGACTGACTTACAGACATGGTCACACTAAATAGTTTAGGCTGGCCTTGCACTCACTGTGTACCCCAAGCTGGGTATGGGTCCAGGGTAATCCTCCTGTTTCAGCCTCCTGGGATTAGAGGCAGGCATCCCTATACCTGGCTCTGGGTTTGTTTGGCCTGTTTATTACCATGTGACCAAACTGTCTAAACAAGTCAATTTAACTGCTGATAAGCATAGCCCCTCCCCATTGGTACTGTTTCTCTAAAATCCAGTTAAATTAAACTTCTGATACCAAACCTTTGACTAAGCAAAGGAGCCGGCTTCTGCACAGCCTCTGTGGCAAATGCATACAGAAGAAACACTTTCTGGACGGCTGAGGATCTGAGAAGAGCCATGACCCGCTCCTGATCCACTTGCTCAGCTGGATGGAAACTCTCTACCCATTCTGGGGCATAGCGTAAAGACAGGGAAAGTCTTCCCGAAGTTCCCACCTAGGGCTTCTGCATCTCCTACTGTGCTCAGCAGGGGACCCATGAGGACCCAGCTCCCATGTGTAGGGAAGGCACCACTGGGCACGGCAGCCCCGAGAGCTGGGGCCCAGCTTCAGGATGCAAGTGACATGCTGGGAGGGGCACAATCAGGAGACAGGGCCGATGTCTCTCGCTGCCTAACTAGGGCTCCAAAACTGTGCCACAAGCCCTGGCAACTGAGGCACACAGATGACATAGCTCTTAGCACCCCTGGGATGTGGTTAGACATTCTACATCCTAGCCAGTGATTAGTCTTGGAGGGAGAAGAAAGCCCTGCTCACTGCATGCCCACCCTGCATCCAGTGAAGATACCTGATAGAAGTCTGTGTCCTCCGCAATGACCTTCAGTATCCTTGGGGCAATGGGCGGGACTGTCACCATCTGCAGCTTGCCAAAGAACGGGTTGTGCCCAGAGCTTTTGTAGCGCTTCACCTTGTCCTCAATGACCAATGCGAGTGACTGCGAATGGTTGATCACCTCTAGCAGGGTGGAGATGGCCACATTCTGGAGGTAGCAGTCGGTCACGCAGCAGCTAATGGTCATCAGGGACTTCAGCCACAGTGGAAAATCAGGATCGCTGGCCCCTGAAAGGGAGGACAGGGCAGGGCACAGAAAGTTCCAGCCTGCAGATTCACTTCCTGGGTACTCATCTGGAAATGGGGTCTTTATGGAGGTAATGGAGGCGGATTGAGGTCATACAGGGCTCTAATCCAGTATAACTGGTGTCCTTGGAGGAAACTGCCACATGAGACAGGGACAAACAGGAGGTTACCAGGTGATCACAGAGGCACAGCTAGTAAAGTCAAGAAGGCCAGGGACTGCTGGCCACCCCTGGGAGCTGCAGAGAGACAAGCATGGATTCCACCCAGGCTCAGCGTGAACACCACCCTGACACTTTGATTTTAAACTTCTGGTCTCTAAAGCTATGAGACTCTGAGTTTGTTCTGGGTTAGCTGCTTAGTAGTGGCACTGGGTTAGAGCAGCTATAGCAAACCAGGACATAAACCTTTAAGATCTGGATCATGAAACAGTCTACTAACATCTACTTACTACTTTGTCTGTTTGATTTGAGACCGGCTCTTGTTATGCAGTTCAGCCTGGCTCGAGCTTGCAGTGATCCTCCTGTTTTGGGATTACAGGAGTGTGCCATCATGCCCAGTGCTATTACCTGTACTGTGCTGCGTCTGTGGCTAGGCTGTGCTGGACACTCAAGGCTTAAAACCAGAGACCTGGCCCTCACCAAATGGCCATGTGAGGGCACAATGTAATCTTGCTATGTAATCTCCAGCACTGAGAAGTCAAATAAAACACCACACACAGATTAGTATCATTTACCCAAAGGCTTGGGCCTAGGAGTGTTTCAGATTTTGGAGTTTTTTTTTGGATACTGGACTATGTATTTGCATGGACTTTCCTGGCTGTGCAGCCCTCATCAAAAGCTCCAACTGTCCAGTGCCCAGGAAGTTTTGTATTTCAGAGCATTTGGATGGGGTGCACTGCCTGTGGCCCCTTCTTGTTGGACACGTCTCTGGTGGGTTTGACTGTCCATTACCTTAGTGACAGCAGCCCAACTGGCGGCTCAGGCGCCTTCTCACCTGGAGGCTGGAAAAGTGTCTCGTAGAGTTGCTCGGTCTCCTCCTCGGACAGGTACACGGGGAAGGTGGCACAGTCCAGCAGCAGGTGGCAGGCGGCAGCAAAGGCCTCTCTGCAGTGCTCCTTGGAACCTCCCAGGTCAATGACCACATGGTCAGCCTCCCATCCTCCTCCTATCTTCCTGCCTGGGCTACTGGGCAGAGATGCTGGTGACTCTGAACTTTTTGTCTTAAACGGAGACCCACGCACCGTGAACAGGTCTGACAGCATCTGCTTAAACTGGGGCACGGTGCTGGGCTTGGTCTCCCATGAGTTCTTCCTGTCCTGGTTGCTAGCTGCCACGCCCTTGTCCCTCTTCCCTGAGGGCTCCTCAGATTTGCCTTCCTCCCTGGGCGTGGGCGGTGGCTCTACGAGAATGTTCTTGCTGGCAAAATTGGCGAGGAGCTCCTGGATACACAGAAATGTCCTCTGCATGCTGCCCCCCTTCTTCCAGATGTCATCTCTCTCTGAAGAAACCCGAGGGACCCTCAGGTGCTCAGACAGCTCTGGTGATGAGGCACTAAGCCCAATCCCGCTGTCCTCGGACCTCAGCGGGGGGAATGGTGTCTGGTCATCACCAGCCACCACTGCTCTCGTTTCCAAAATGATTTCGCCAGGGTCACCTTTTACCGGACTCTGCAAACATGAGGAAAAAAAAACGTACCACATAGCTCTTAAAATCAAGGGCTTCAAGTATCAGCTGACCGGGCAAACTAGACACACATTTCACAGCTGCTTCTCCCAACTTTGGGCCCCTGTGCCTAGCGAGTCTTCTGTGTGAGTGAGTAATGAAGAGAGAGTGGTGCTCAGGAGGGCAGCCGGGGCCCAGGGCCTGCTCCAGGTAAACAAAGCATAAAGAAATCAAAAGGACACCAAGATGGTGTCTGAAGCCAGAACAAGACACATGGAAGGATGAACAGCGCTAATCCGAAACTAAACATCTAAAACATGGTGATATTAAGTCACAAATGGAAAAGCCCACACCTGCCCTCCTGTGACACAGTCACCACAAAGATGCCCCGAAAGTATGGTCCAAAACTACTCAGGACTCTTGAGTCCTGTTCTGACCGAATCATGACAGTAAGTATTTAGGTGAGTGAGGCGGGTGGGAGCAGGTGGAACCAACTTTTCTGTATTTGTATTATGTGTCTTTGGCACCCCGTGGCCAGTAAGTAGCTGGTCAGTACAATCAGCCGATTGATCAACTTCGGAAAAACACTGCCTTCAGGCTGTGTGTGTAATCAATACGAAACATGCAGGAATTCTGGGTTTAGACTTGTACCCCATCCCTGGTATATATTATTATGTATATGCAAATATTGTTAAATCTGAAAAATGTCTCAAATCTGATATACTTCTGGTGCTAAGAATTTCAGATAAGGGATCCTTAACCTAAATATGCACATACACGCATACAAGGTGTGACTGAAAAATGAGTGGACCAGTCACAGTGGTGTCTGCCTGTAATTCCAGTACTTAGGGGAGGCTGAGGCAGGATGGTCGTAAGGTTGAGGCCAGCCTCCCAAATTCAAGACCAGCCTGAACTACAGAGTGAGACCTTGTCTCAAAAAACCAAAACAAAAACCCTAAAAAACAAAAATACTTCACAAAAACATCCCCCCCAAAGTGAATGTTTATTAAAAAATGATCACAGTAGGACACACAGCTGTCCATCCTCCTTGCAATGCGACCCCGGGCTTTGAATATATCCTGGCCACTTCCTGCAGCAGCTCTGGAGTCCTCCTTCCTGCGTGTCACAGCTGTGCTGCCCTGGCTGCCTTTTCATGTCTTGAATCAACTCAAAACATTTCCCTTTTAGTCATCTGACTTTGGGGAGGAGCCAGAAGTCATGTGGTACAAAATCCAGTGACTAAGGTGGATAAGGACGCGGCAGAGTTTACGAGCTGCCTCTCCGTTGGATGGCACTCAGAGCAGTCTGAGTATTTGTGATCATCACATAAAGACACAGAGGAGGACTCCCACAGTCAGAGGGGGACAAGAACAATGCTGATTAAGACACTCACAGCGAGGGGAGGGTTAACTGTAAACACTCACTGTACACACACACAAAGCAGCTTTTCCAAAGAGATGCCACTTCAACCATAATGAGTCAACCTTTCCTCCTCCCCACACTTTCGCAGCCAGCATGCTCTCTAGGAAGAGTGAGGAGGCAGGATGTGATCTCTCAAGCACACTGCTATTTCTATCTGGAAGCTATAAATACTTAGACTTTGTAGTTTAAATCGTTTTAGAATTCATCTCCTCAGAGCCAGGGTAACTAGGAAATAGAGTTCTAACTCCTAAATGGCGGGCACTCTGCAGCCTGGAACTGGCAGCTCCTTCAGTGCCAGCCAGGTACCAACCCACGAGCTCTTCCCACCACTTCGCTGTTAGTATCTGCACAGTGGATGATCTGGGGGCAAAATTTTCCAATCCCTCAATAGGAAAGAAAAAAAAACACCCCAAAGACCACAGGCATCAAGCTGCTCGTAGGTCTCTTAGCGTTGGTCTTTCCAGAAGACAGTCAGGCACCATCTCTCACAGATCAATGGGAGCGTGTGTGCCTGCCCACTGCCCTGCGCTGACCAGAATGATCCCACACAGCCAGCACCCACATGCAGGTGCAGACCGGAAATTGTTCCAACAGTGCGAGACAGGAAAGAATCTTCACACATCAATAGGGAAACAATAACTTATTAACATTAGTGTCACTAAAGTTGCTATACCACCCCCCCCACTGCTAAATTTGTCTGGCTTAAAAAAAAATAGGGAAACAATAAAATATTACTCATACTGTAGAATATTACCCAGAAAGGAAAAAATAAAATAAATGACATGCCAGGATGTTGCCAACATATTATTTGAATAAATTAAAAACCAGAGCAGGTCACAAAATAGTGTACGTTATAGGTTATGTGGAGCCCTCACTTCCGGTATACAGGGTCTTCACCAAAGATTAAGGATGTACCCAAATTCGACCCGACTTCTTCTTTATAAAAAGGAGAAACTGTGCCAAGGATACAGCTCAGTGGCATAGCACCTGCCTGGCAAGCACAAGGTTGTGAGTTGAATTTCCGGTACAAAACAAACAAACAAACAAATAAAAAACCATAAAGTTGTGCTGGGCGTGGTATATACATCTGTAGTTCCAGCACTGAGGAGGCTGAAGCGAGGGGGTCTCTGAGAGGCTGAGGCCAGCCTGGGCTACACAATGAGTTCAACGCCAGGCTAGACTACAGAGCAAGACCCTGTTTCAAAAGAAAAAAAAAAAAAAGCAAAAAATCTTTAAAAACAATGGAAAGGGGAAATGTGGACATAGAGACAGACAAGAGCATGGGGAGAGCACCACACACCCACAAAGGCAGAGGCTGGGGTGGTGTATCATGACCCTGAGCCGCAGCGGGTTCACTTCCTCTGCACTCCAACCGAAATCTCTGCTGCGTCAGCCGCCCCGGCTGTGGGACTCTGTCAGGCGGCCGTAATAGGTCACGCCAAGGAGTATCCTCACCTGGCGTTTAGATAGCCCGTCACACACGTTCAAAGGTACCTGCCCTTCCCAGCAGATGGCAGCTGTGGTCACGCAGGACTGGCTGCTCTGGTCACTCCTGGCAGCTGGGCAACGTGCAGGGGCTCAGCTCCCAGAAGCCTGGGGTCTACTGTGTCATCAGTGTATCTGACGCCTCCCTGGACATCCTCTCCTAGTGCCCTACGCTGGCCCGCCAATGCTGTTAAGCTCCGCCCAGCACCTACCGAGCCTCCACTTGTGGGATCCGTGTCCAGGTAGGAGGGAGGCATCTGCACCTTGCTGAGCACCTTGAAACACATCTTCAGGGCGTGCGTGAGCTCAGCCAAGCTCAAGGCCTCCACCTCCTCCGCCAGCGGCCGCAGCAGGCAGCCGAGCACCTGCGGGAGGTACTGGGTCTGCACCTCTGAGTAGAGCTCCTGCGGACACAAGACGGTTACTCCCAGGGGCAGCCTCCAGCCCGGAGGAAGCTCCACAGCCTGGTGCCTCACATAGTTCTGGTTTTTGAAATGAAAGTTTCACATTCATTCTCAAGTCAGAAAATAAAGTACTGCTGAATGTGGCAGTGCATGCCTGTCATCCCAGCACTTGGGAGGCTGAGGCAGGAGGATCAAGGCCAGCCTGGGCTACATAGGGAACTGAAGGCCAGCCTGAACTAAGGGTGAGACCTTGTCTAAAAAAGGGGGGGGGGGGAATTACTCTCCCTCCTTACTTTTGAGATGGTCCTGCTAAGTGGTCCAGGATCCTAAAATTGCTCCCCTCCTGCCTTCGCCTCCCAAATAGCTGGGCCAATGGAAGTGTACTACCACTCTTGGCTCTAGTATCTTCTTTTGATCTAGGCAAATCAAGTGAGTTTACCCCTTCTAAGAGAAAATAGTACAACGGCCATATTCCTATATTTAATATCCAATTTCTCTCCAGAAAATAAGCCAACTGCACAACTGTAACTAGAAATGTGTTTATTCCTACCCCCAAAGACCTGCAGTATCAGCTCCTCATCCAGTTTGTATAACGCTAGCTGGGCCCATGTCTCTAAAGTGATCACCCTGTAATGTGTGACTTTCCACAGTGCTGGGAACTGAACCCTGGACACGCTAGGCAAGAGCTGTACCCCCAGCCCTCTTCTATTTTTAATGTTTTAATTGAGGGCTTATCAGTTACGAGAGTGTAACTCAGCCGACAGCTTGCCTGGTGTGCGTGAGGCCCCGGGTTCCATTCCAGTACCACTGCCAACAAAACAAAAAACAAAAGAGAACGTGTCAGGCTACATTTAACAGCACCAAAAGTGGTTTTATTTTATTTTATTTTATTTTATTTTTTGGTGCAGGGGATCGAACTCATGACCTCGAGCTTGCCAGGCAGCTGCTTAAGCCACTGAGCTAAATCCCCAGCCCTGGAAACAGTGTTTTTTTTTCAAACTAAGAAAAGCTATTTCTTGGTAAATTCAGGCGTATAAAACAGGCCAACCATACTAGTAAGTGTGCAACAACAAAATTGTTTCTTTCAGTTTTTTGAGACAGCATCTTGCTATGGAACCTAGGCTGGGCTTGAGTCTGAGGTGACCCTTCTGCCTCAGCCTCCTGAGCCTTGGGATTATAGGTGTGCACTACTGTTCCTGGCCTAAGAGGACACCAGAAGCAAGCTCTGAGCCGTCTGTCTGCTGTGGTCCCTACGTACCAAGGGAATGACATCCAGGAGGAACACGAGCAGAGTGCAGAGCTCCGAGATGGTGGGTGGAGGCCCGACAGGCTTCCCGGCAGTGTGGATCCGCTTCCCTGATCTGCATTAACCACAAGGAAGGAAGGCTGGTCAGTCCACTCCCCTGTAGACCGTGCAGCCTCTGATGATTTCTGGCCAAGTTTCCCTATTCCACACACAGTGACAGATGCTCCCTGATGCTGAGTTCTGAGTGGTGAGAGATGATGCAAAGGATGCAGGCTTCCTGCGTGATGTGACGGGCGCACAGTGGTGGGGTGCAGAGAGGTGCAGGGCTCTATGCGGGCAGTGACATTGAATTCTCAAAAACAGAGTGAAACACGCACCGACCCAGGGCCGAGCTGGTGGAAGAGTCCCTGACTAGTGCGGCAGAGTGCGGCACAGCCAGAAAGTTTTTAAAAATTCAAAGGAGGGGGGCTGGAGGTTTAGCTCAGTGGCATAAGCGCCTGCCTTGAAAGCAGGTAGTCGTGAGTTCGATCCCCGGTACCGATAAAAAGGAAAAAGACAAAAAAAAAAAAAAAAAAAAAAAATTCAAAGGAGGCCAAGCTGACCAAAGCGTCCCCTAACTCCAGCATCACCTGGCCTGGCCATGGCCCATGGGGGCTTGACAATCAGTTAACTCTGCATGGGGAGTGCACCTTGTGGGCCTGGGGCTGGGCAGCTGAGCTTGGGCTCTGCAAGGTCCAGGTAGGTGGCTGCGCTGTGTACTGTGGGAGCCACTCAGGGTGCTCTGGTGCCAGGCCCAGCTTCCTACAGGGCCAGAGCTTTACACCAGAGCGCCCCCACCCTCTGGGTCATTCAAACAAAGTGTCTTGGCCACAAGACCCACAGGGTGAGTGTTTCAGAGCTGCCACTGCGGCTGCTGAGTGCAGGGAGGATGGGGGTTGGAGGGAGGAGCGCGTGCTACAGAGGACGGCAAGGTTCACATTTTTCCCTGGGACATGGTGCTTGTCATGGTACAACCTGCCATCTGTGCCCGGGCATGAAGATGCCACAAGGAGCCAGAGGTGGTGCTGTAATCCCAGGAGGCTGAGGTAAGAGGATGGCCACGAGTTTTAGGCCAGCCTGGCCTACACAGTAAGCCCATAGCCAGTCTGAACTGCATATCGAGACCTTGACTCAAAATACCAGACAAACAATCAATAAAAAAAAAAAGGTGAGGGACAGCAAAGGCTCTCCAGGAAGGCCTGCTGTCCCTGAGTGTCCCCAGCCACAACCTGGAAGTCACGCAATCCACCACCAGCTTCCATGTAACGGATGCAAAGCAGGTTGCGTTCATGCTCTTCTCTGACCTGCTTCGCACTCATTTCAGTAAGAGCTGAGAGTCCTCAGGGTTCAAAGCTTGCTCTCGGGGCCACAGAGGTGAACCTGGGACATGTTAAGGAGGTGGGGTTGCCAGGGGACATCCTGGGGAATGTGCCTGTGAGCCGCTACTGAGGGACACGGCAAAGACGACGCCAGTCTTCATGATGTGTCATCTGTTCTGTTAAGATCACCAGCGCGTTCTTCCCAGTTCTGCGCAGGCCACACTCTGCAGCTCAGCAGGGACCACCCTGCCTTGGCCACTCAGTAGGACCCAGTGCCTGCTAAGCATGTGGCCCTCACACTGTGTCACCTGCCGCACCTGAAGCACTCCTCAAAGCGCCGAGTCATATAATCCCAGAGGAAGTCAGCACTGAGGGAGGAGATCAGCAAGTTCACCGTCTTGACAATTTCAGAGGCGTTTTTGTTTTCCTTGATTGTGCTGAAACAGAAGCGGCATACTATCTGAGAAACTAACTCGCTTTACCATTTATGACTGATTTCCAGAGGCTTGTAAACTCTAAGATGAGAATATTACTTTCTGAGGGGTGCAGTGATGCTTGCCTGTCTTTCCAACTACTCAGGAAGCTGAGGCAGGAAGATCTCAAATTGGAGACAATCTTTCTCAAAGTCAAAAATAAAAAGGGCTGGGAACATAGGTCAGTGGTGAGCTCCCCTGGGGTTGAGCCCTAGTACTGCTAAAAAGAAACCACAGCAAAGACTTTGATAGAGAAAACCAGTTTTAGTAGTCAGATATAGTAGTGTATGCCTATAATACCAGCACTTGGGAGGCTGAGGCAAGAGGACTGCTATGAGTTTGAGGCCAGCCTGGCTACACAATGAGTTCAAGGCCAGTGTGAATGTATAGTTAAGACTCTGTCTCAAAAAAATACAAAAACCAAAAAACCAGAAAAAAAGTAGTTTTAGTCTAGCTAAAAATAACAGGATATTCTACTGGTGGAAATATAGACAACTATTTAGCAAAGATACTCTGTAAAATGTGCTTGCTTCTTTTTTTTTTTTTTTTGACCCCTTGTATGAAGATGAATTTCTTTTTTTTTTGGTATTGGAGATCAAACTCATGACCTCACGCTTGCCAGGCAGGCGCTTATGCCACTGAGCTAAATCCCCAGCCAATGTGCTTGCTTCTTAATTACAGTATTGGGGCTTAAACCCAGGTCCCGCACTCACTAGGCAAGTGCTCCACCACTAAGCTACATCCCCAGCTCAAAACTGTTACTGTGTATCTTCTATGGCTTGGGACCCTAACTCCAGGAAGTCCCACAACTGCGCTTGCACAGACAGGTACACAGAGATGTGCGCAGAGAGGAACCACTCCAGGCCTTCAAAACAGCAAAGAAGTGGGAGGGCCTGCAAGTCGGTCAGTGGACCCCACTCATCGCTCCACATCTGCCTAAATGGGCTGTCCTTCCTGAGGACCCTGCACCTCCACTAGAGTCCATGGAAAGTACAGAGCTGCTGACGATTCCCATGACTATAGCGGGCAAGGGGACAGCAAGCAAAATTACAGCTCTGAAGACAGGCTTTCAGTATCCACATATGCAGTCAAAGTACAGAAAGAGGTGAAAATGTTTTATTTTCCTCGGAAGGATAAGAGGATTATGGGTGATATCCTTTTCCTTAATGTCTTCAAATATCAGTGAATTCTATAATTATCATGTGTTACTTTCGTGTCCCAAAAAACAATAATCTTTCCCTCTGGGAGGAAAAAGCCAACAGTAAGAACTTTCAATACACTTAATAACAAATAAACCAGAGACACCTGAGAATTTGTTGGACCCCGGCCCTGGCCCTGGGAGGGCAGAGTGGTGACGGGATGGCCAGACCCTACCTGTTCAGCAGACTCCCGCTCTGAGTGTAGCTCAGCTGGAGCTCGGAGCCCAGGGCGTCTCTGCAGTAAGAGTAGAAGGCTCTGATGACCTCGAGAAACAGGCTCTCGACCACTTGAGGGCCTGCAAGCAAAGACCAAGTGGTCAGGGCATGATGAACAATTAGTTCTTTTTTTTTTTTTTTTTTTGTCTTTTTTTGAGACAGGATCTCTCTATGCAGTGGCCTTGAGCTCACTCTGTAGCCCAGGCTGGCCTCGAACTCCCAACGATCCTCCTGCATCAGCCTCCCGAGTACTGGGATCACAGGTATCAGTGACCACGCCCAGCAACAATTAGTTCTTAAATCAGTACGCATCCCTGCAACCTCACCACAGCCACAGGCGTGGGTACCCTACAGACACCTGAGTGGACTGAGGCCCAGAGGGGCAACACTGCCATGGCAGTTCCTTGTGAACTGAGTGGCCAGCAAGTGCTGCGTGTCACTGTGTGGAAGCCTCTTGCTGCACCCACCTCTCCATGCAGACACCCCCGGAGACACCCTGCCTTTGGTCAGGAGCTACACTACTACCAGAGAAATAATGTGAAGCCCGAAAAGCTAGGGGAGCTTGACAAAGAACCACACCAGCCGCAGGTCAGGTCCTCGGGCTGCTGCTGGCCTGAGGGTTGGGTGAAGCGGCTGATAGGTGGACAACACGTGCCCATCAGCTGCCCAGTGAGTGTGGGCCGTGGGGGACACTTAAAATGTAAATGTGGCCTTGCACATGTTCTGCGGGCCCACGCACATGTGTGTGCCCAGGAGCTCGAGAGCACTTCAGGAACAAAAAGTCTCAGTGTCACAATGGAAAAGTTTGTCATTTTTGAAGTACAGGGAATGGAGTCTAGGGACTTTGTGCTGAGCTACATCGCCTCTGCTTTTTTACTTTTCCAGACAAGGTCTTGCTAAATCACTACACAGTTGGTGTGGGCTTGAACTTGTGATCCTCCTGCCTCAGCTTCCCAGGGTGCTGGGATTTGTACTACCCACGTCTGGCTGTGTGAAAATTTTAAGTGGTCTCAGAAATGGGAACTGAATCACATGATTCCAAGATTCTGAAACTCCAAAGGCTAAATCACAGCCAAAATAATGCTCTGTCTGTATCTCATGGTGCTTTAATTTCCTTAGAGCAGGAAATCTGTATCTGGCCCCAAAGAGAAGCAGTAGCCTTTCCCAAGTTACCTATCTCGGGCTTGTCCAGCAGACTGACCAGGATGCGGAAAGGCTTCAGGTATGCGTGGTGCTGCTCCTCAGCGTCTGCGTCCAGGAACTGCTGGTGCAGGATCTGTGCGAGGCTCTGTTTAGAGAGCCCCACATCAGGATGTCACACAGGGGAAATATGTCACTGTCAGATGTCTTCATTAAGCATTTGGGGAGAGAAGGAAAACCAGCCCCAGACACACAGGAACCCCATAGTTCTCAAGCCTCATACCAAGGACACACCCACGGTCTACTCTAAAGTCTCACATGAAACCCCCAACAGAGATGGGACAAAGAATGACCCAGCTGGGCCTGACGTCCAGAAATATCCTTTACCTCAACTAAAAGATCCTTGGAGTATTTTTCAAAAAAATAAGAGAATGGGTCTTCATAAGAATTTGAGATGTCAGTTTCAGGCATGATGGTATTGCCTTTAATATCTGAACCTGTAAAAGAACGTACAGTGTGAGATGTCAAGAGATCCAGGCTTTGCACTGCATTGCACACAAGTTTCAGGCTCCTAGATGTCGTCATGCCCCCAAGAGAAAACCCAGGTCAGATCAGAACAAGCTATATTTTTTGTTGTCTCTTTCACACTCTGGAACTGAAACCCAGGGTCCCACACACGCTAGGCAGACGCTCTCCCATTGTGCTATACTCGCAGCCCAAGTCTCGAACTGACAAGGCCGTGGCTATGGATCAGGCAGCCAGAACTCAAACCTGGTGCACATAAGAATTCCCCTTGTCTTTTACAAATATGGTTATAAGAAGGCAATGGGGTGAGGTCAGTGTCTACGTGCAGCACTTATGTGTGGAGTCATAGGGGCCTCTTACATGTACTCTGCCCTTACTGGGACCCTGGATGAGGCTCCAGGTCCTGTGGTGCTGAAGAACATCTTTGTGGCACAAAAATGACAAGAGGGCTCATGGAACCCAGCTGGTGAAGCCCCAGGTCCCCTCTACACACAGAATATCAGGTCCCATCTGCTAGGTGCAGAGCCTTGCATTTAACAGCATCTCTTTTCACTAGAAGTCCTTAGAGAGCCTATGACATTCTTTTTTTTTTTTTGTCTTTTTCCTTTCTATCGGTACCAGGGATCGAACTCACAACTGCCTGCTTGCAAGGCAGGCGCTTATGCTGCTGAGCTAAATCCCCAGCCCCGAGCCTATGATATTCTTAAAACCCTTAATAAATAGACTTCCTTCCTTATTACAACTCTTCTGAGTTTCACAACCAGAGAGAAAAAAGGGGGAAAATATTGCAGAGGGTGACCAGATTGGTGAGAGGTATGTGATCGTATGGGAGATATGCTGTCCTTTTGCAGGCTCTGCACAGCCCTGTTTTTGGGTGTGTGCACGTGGAACTTTAGGGAGCTCAGACAAGGCCTCATGCTCTCCATGGTTATCTAAATATTATCTCCCTAAACTCCCCACTGATACAAAACCTTCTGTATTTACACATATCCCACAGTATCTGGGGCTTTTCTCCACATACACCCTTATCTCACAGAACCAGCTTTGGTGGAAGAGGGGTTAGCTGGGTGTTTTTTCAAGCTCTTAAAACTGAACTCAGTTTATGGATAACTTAAATATTACCAAAAGGTTGATATATTTCTGAATTTTGAAAACATCAGTTATTAATTTTGAGTTGGCAGAGGTAACCTAACCAGCTACCATTGTGTTTGGTACTAAGAGATACACCTTTCAATAAAATTATTGAAATGCAAAAAAAAAAAAAAAAAACTGAACTCAGTTGGGATTTTAAAATCCACTTATTAGCAGGATGTGGTGGCACACTTGCAATCCCAGCAGGGATTGTAAACTCAGGAGGTTGACACAGGAGGATTGTTACAAGTTTGAGACAAGGCTGGGTTACAAAGTGAGCTCAAGGCCAACCTGAACTGCATAGGGAGACCCTGTCTCAAAAAGATGAAAACAAAACAAAACAAAAATCCCACTTATTGGAGCTGGGGATCTAGCTCAGTGGCAAAGCCTGCTTAGCAAATGCAAGGTCCCGAGTTTCATTCCTGGTACCAAAAATAAAATAAACCCCACTATCCTCCCATGCCTTCTTTTAAAGCTGCAGTAGCCACAGCTATGAGTGGGAAGCAGACCTAGCGCCTGGTGCTGTGCTTAGTCAGTGTGTGTCTTTCCACACCAGTGACTCAGCACCGCACCCCAGAGCACTCCAGGGCTGAAAGTCAGCCACAAGGCCTCAGTCCCTCTGACTCCAGCAACTGCTTAACTGCTCAGTACCTAGCAACCAGGCATAGAGCCTTCTGTTTAGGGACATGTCTCTTCGCAGCAGGGTCTGGGTGGCAGCCGAGAGCAGGTACACGATGTCGGCTCTGAGCAGGGGAACAGTCCTCTGGTCAGGATCCTATTGGGAGCACAGAGAAAACCGCACGTAAGGAAAGGAATGATAAAGGAGACTGCGGACTTTCTGACACACAGGGATTCTTTAACCACTTACTCCCACAGCCAGTCCCCAAAGGTGGTTGGTTTGGCCGGGTGTGGTGGCACACGTCTGTAATGTCAGCACTCTGGAAGGCTGAGGCAAGTGGACTGAAAGTTCAAACCCAGCCAGGGTAACTTAGACCCTACCTCAAAATAAAAAATAAAAGGGCGGGGGGTGTAGCCCTGTGTGCGACCTGGGGTCACACTCGCACACATGAAAGAGGTTGGTGTGCTCCCCCCTGCCCACAGAAAGCAGCTACTTGGTATATGAAAAGGAACAAGGACCTGTGACTGACTGAAAGCCAACGGTGACCACATAGTGGCTTGGTGTCCTCTCATGAAGACCCTGCTAAGGGGCTGGGGATTTAGCTCAGCGGCATAAGCACCTGCAAGCAGGCGGTCGTGAGTTCGGTCCCCGGTACGATAAAAACGAAAAAGACAAAAAAAAAAAAAAAAAAAAAAAGACCCTGCTAGAGCTCAGTGCCTCCAGCCCTGTTTGAGAAGTCCAGAAGAACACTGCAGACTCACCAGACAGGTGTAAAATGGGAAGAAAAACAGCATGATTTCCAGATTATTTCTCTGCACGAGCACATTGGAGTCCAACAGTGAGGCACACAGCGATTTTACCTGTGAATTGACAAAAGATACAGAGACCCGTGACACAGTCACAGCCGTAACACAAAGGCACTTCTGGAGCCTCGGCACAAGTGCAGGACCTCACACAGCGAGCATGAAACTGGGTTTGGGGCTTTGGGCTGGGGTCTGCCTCCCCTGTGCCACCAGAGAGCTGTGGGGGCACAGGGCAGACGGCTGGGGTCTAAGGTCTCCAAGCTCATGAGCCCAGCCGGAACCTCAGGTTAAACTGATGCTGCAAACACATGCTGTGATGATTCCAATCGATTCCAGAGCATCTCCGCGCAGTCGGGTGTCACTCAGGGTCATCACAGCTAAGCTGGTGACAAAGCTCAGGAAACGGAAGCTCAGTGGGACAGCAAACTGAGCTCCAGGGACAGGGCGCAGCCACACAGAGACGAGGGCAGAAGGGTGGGCAGGGGCTGCCACGCTGGAGGGAGGAGCCAGCTGGGCCAAGGCCTGGGGGCAGCTCAGAGGGCCCTGGAGAGCACAGGACAGATGTGAGCAAAGCTGTCCTTCAGCAAAGTGGATCTCTTACTCAGCCTTGGCAGGGCCCAGACGGGCAGAGGGTATGGGGAGAGACCAGGTAGAAAAGAGCTGACAGCAAATCTCGGAGCTGAAGCAGGGCATGAACATGGGAGGAGGAGGAGGAGGGGAAGGGAGCCTGTCTAGGGGTCTTCTCCACGTCATCTTCAGGTGAATTGCTTTTTCTCCGTTTGCCATTTCATCCTTGGAAAGAGCCTGTGAGACAAAGCTACATCCCTACAAAAGGACAGGGCTCAGAGGGGTCATTCACAGCAAGCCATAGCCCTTCTGGGCGGTGAGTTCATCCGTACATTCCAAATTCAAAGTATGAGTCCTTCCCCACGTGGCAACAGACAGCAATCCTGAAAAGGACAGACGGCCCCAGGGCAGAGGTCCCCCGGCTCCCGCTTCCCTTGAATGGCCCAGTCGAAACCACACGTGGAAACTCCCCGGAAAGAGGCTTGAGAACGGTCAGAGCAGGAGAGGCGGGAGGAGCAGAGCCAGGAGCAGAGGAGGAGGTGGTACAATGCGATGCAGGTGGGCGGGAGGAGACAGGACTGCAATCAGTGCAGCACTGGCCAGCACTGCTGTGGAGGGGACGTGTGATGTTGCCTCTGTGTCCTGCCTGGTGGCTCACCCTTACGCACCGCTGGGGTCCTGGATGCCCCCCACTGTCCCTCTGCAGCCTGGGGAGCCACCCCCCACCCCATGCTCTGTGTGCCGAGCACGCACCGTGAGCTGGTGGTCCGTGCCCAGCATGAAGCCCTGATCCTGGCCCGGTGTGTCCCTGCTGATGTGGCTCACCACGAAGAGTGAGGCGGGGAGCCGGATGGCCGGGCTGGCCAGGACACTGCCCCACAGCGCCGTGTAGAACACCTCCCGGCCTACCACCAGCGACAGCCTCAGCAGCAGGGCGTCCGTTCTGCGGGGGACAGAGACAGGGTTTCAAGGTTTGTCCCCCGTGCCCCTCCCCATGTCATCCTTTTGCGCTTCAGGCATCTCTGGCCCTTCTGGGTTTCCGCCCGCCAGCTGTCACGCTGAACGTCAATTTGCTCAAACAAACATGTCTCAGGGAGGTGCAGCTTCCGGGCTCTGTGGCTGTGGCACTGAGCCCACCTGCTCACCTGCCTTGCTGTGGACACCAAAACACTCACACTGTGGATAAGAGCAGGAGCAGGTCAACTTTCATTTGTTTAAATTTTTATTTTTGAGGCAGGCTAGTCTTGAACACATGATCTTCCTGCCTCAGCCTCCTGAGTGCCGGGATTCCAGGTGCGTGTGACCATTCCCAGACACACCAGTCACCTTAGGACAAGGAGTCTCTTGTAAGTCAGCCAGAACAACAGGCTGTCACAACTGAAGGCTTGAGTAACTGTCATGATGCTCCCACCTGAATAAAGCCAACACTGCGCCATAACAGACTTCGGAACCCAGGGACAGACCCAGCCTGGCTTCCCAACAGCCTGCAGAGCTGTGTTCTCCCCATTCGCCACTACATCTCCACTCAGGGATCGGCACAGACCCGATAGTGACTGTTAACTGGGTTATTTAAGGCATGGCATCTCAGGGCAGTGTGGTAGTGTGGACCTGCAACCCCAGCGACCCAGGAGGCTGAGGCAGGAGATTCACTTGGGCCCAGGAGACAGAGACAGGCCTGGGCAACACAGTGAGAGCGTGTCTTGAAAAGGGAAGCAAACAAACCCATGCTGCGGGCTGGCTATGTGCTGCAGAATGCTTGCAATGCCCTGGCCTCTGCCTGATTCTGGCAGTGCCTCCCCGGTGAGAGCCACAGCCAGGGAGGGAGGGAATGGGCAACATCCCCCAGGGGAAACTCTTGGTTCAAATGGAAGTTTCCAGTAAGCCTGTTCCTAATTTTTTATAAATTTTTTTGAACACAGGGCCTTACTGTGTAGTTCAGGCTTAAACTAGCTATGGAGCCCAGGCTGGCCTTCTCCTGCCTCAGCCTCCCAGAGTCGGGATTATACAGGTGTGTACCACCTTGCTGGATTATAAACCACTGAAGCAGTCACCTCTCCTCTCCACAGCAGAGGATCCTGGTCGTCCCCGCTTTTATCTTGTTTTCTTAGCAAATAAAACACAGCTATGTAGCTAACCCACAGACAATTTCCAAAGATTTCTGGCCGGCAGCAGACAATGTGTAGGCCACCTCCAAGGGTCAGAGAGCAGGGTGAGTAACACCGCCCAACACTAGCCACAATTTCCATTTATCCCAGTTCACTAAAAAGCACAAAGCAGGACTGGTCTCTGATGCCTCCACAAAACCTGAGTCACTCCAGCCTCATCCGCCTGGCCTGATCCTGCTCCTGGTGACTACCGTGGTGACCCTACGCACCTCTCTCCTGCCCCCGAGAAATGCCTGCTAGGTGTTTCGCTCACTTATTTAGTGCTTTTGGAAGTAGCTGCTAAACTCTGGCAGACTCCAAAGGAGCCAGCAAAAGCACAAGTGTGGGCTGTCACCTCATGGGTGGTGCCTGTCACACACCTGCTCAGGGTTTATGAGACCTTTGACCAGTGCAGCTCCAGAGAGCTGATAACTAACAATCCTGGGGGTGGCAGATGCTGGGCTTGGTTTCTGTGACAGTCTGGTGATTCATGCAGCTCTCAGCAGTTGGTGCAATGTCAAGCAATGACAACGTTGGGAAAAACATCGTCAGTGTTAAGCAACTTCAGCAACTGTTCACATGAACCCTCGTTCATCAACTAAGAGAACAAACAAAACCATTCCAACTACCATATTTACAGGCTTGCAAACTTAGCAGATGGCAATAAACTGGGAGTGCTAACATGGTCATGCGTCAGGTGATGGAAGCCCCCGCTCACAGCTGCACACACATATCCACAGGTCCACACTCATGTCTGTTTCTGGAACAGGAAATGGAGCAGAACTGCTAGAGGAGCCTGGGTGGGGAGATGGGAGTTAGAGGGTACAGTGTGGTCCTCCAGCTGCCTCCTGCATCACCCCGCCCACCTCTGACCCGCGCCCTGGTTTCGATGCCAATGGAAGGCACCCTCTGTCCCCAAGGCCTCTTGTTCTGCCTACCACTCCCGCTCTGCCCACACCAGGGCAACATGGCGAGTGCTGCGTAATCAGAAGGAACCTCCAGCTGAGTCCCTATCACTGTGGAGGGCTCTCAAAGCAGCCCCTATAGCAGTGGTCAATCACCAGGGCCGTCTCCCAGGCTTGTTACCACACTGCACTCAAGTCCAGACCTGTTTCTGTGGCAGAGGGACTGAATCCAGGAGCTCACACATACGAAGAAGTGCTGTACTGTTGAGCTACATCCCCGGTCATTTTTAATTTAGATTGGGACGGGATCTCACTAGTTCCCCAGGCTGGCTTTGAACTTGCAATCCTCTTGCCTCAGTCTCCTATGTAATTGTGATAATAGACCTATACCGTGGTGCCTGGTTTAGAACTGAGTTCGGTATAATTCTCCAAGGAAAGGCAATGTGTATACTCAATAGTGTGAAAGTTTAAATGGACTTGCACTTTCCCTCACACCCTGTGTGAGCTGGGCGTGGCTCTACATGGCTGTAATCTGGCCAAGGCAGCAGGATTGCTAGGAATTTGAGTCTGGGGTACAAAGCCCAGCCTGAACTATACAGTGAGACTTTCCAAAAAACACAACAAAACAGCAAACAAACACAGAAACAAACAAACTGAAACAAAACCAAACCCCTGCATGAACTTTTGTGCACAGGAGTTTTACAGGTTCTCCAGGTACTGCTGAAATGTGTCAAGATACTGCCTTTCTAGGCTGCGCCTTTATCAACCTGGCTTCACTTTCTTATTCAGAAGCCAAAAGTGCCAGGGATATGGCTCAGTGGCACAGTGAGTGCCTGCCTGGCAAGTGTGAGATTGGGTTCAGTTTCCAGTACGAACCAACGAACAAAAAAAGGCCAAGAGACAAGGGCTCCTAAAATCTGACCCGCATGGGTGGGGCTGGCTCCAGGCCACTGTGATGAGCTCCCACTTTGCACTCTCACCTGCAAGTGGGGGAAACCCTTAGAGTGTGGAGATTTGGTGGCCTAGGAGCAGGATGCAAACAGATTGTGCCCCTAGAAGCTTGCAGGCTCCCAGCTGTGACCTTGGATAACTTGGGGACAGCCGGACCCAGTGGGAACCTGCACTGTGGCCCCTTTATAATTAGTCCCTTTCTCCAGGTAAAGCATCTGACAGCTGTAGGCTTGGCACTCCTCCTCTGGCTAGGCAAAGTGGGGAGGTTAGGGAGAACACACATTTAAAGCTGTACACAGATAATCCCAGCACTCCCAGCACTTGGGAGGCTGAGGCCAGAGGGTCACTGAATCCGAGGTCAGTCTGGGCTACACAGAGAGCTCCAGGCCCGCCTGAATTGTGTATAAAGACTCTGTCTCAAAAAGTCACAGCCGTGAGTGGAGTAGGGACCTCGGAGAAGCTCGGGACATCTGCTGCCTCTGCACCTGCCCCACTCCTGGAAGAGGTGGAAAGGCCCGTCACCTGTCGTAGATCTCGGAGCCCTCCTCCAGGCCGGGCAGCAGGCCCACGAGGAAGGCCTGGAGGCTGGGGAGGAGCAGCTTCTGCAGCGGGAGGAAGTACTTCTCATACAGGCCGAGGAGCACAGGCCGCACCGACATCGCCGCGTTTGCCAGGAGGGGAAACAACCCACAGCTGTGGGGAGAGGAAAGGGAGCTCATGAGGGGTGGGGGCTGCACCTCGGTGCTGGGTTTGTTTTACTCCTGCCCTTGTAATATGGGAACAGACCTGGGGCCTGACACATGCCACGCAAGTGCTCTGTCCCCACCACACCCCACCTGGCCAGAAAGGCTGTGGTGCCCGCCCCCACGCTGCCAGTGTTTGTCATCTTCTGAGCCAAGGAACTGAAAAGGGAGTGTGCCTGAGCACGGAGGAGCAGCCACACCTGTACAGAAACAAGTCCCTGGCCAGCCATTTGGTCCCCACAATCTTGAAGATGATCTCATAGGTCTCCAGAGCTTTCAAGTGCACGCCACTGGGCAGGGCCGGATGCAGACACTGTGCCAGCCTCTTGCTGATGAGCAGTCGGCGAGGCAGCAGGGAGTACTTCAGGTTGCTCTGCAGCGCCTGTAGGATGGGAGAGGACCTCAGCAGAGACCAGGGAGACCCTGGTGGCTGTGTGAGACGGACAGAGCGTCTGTGCAGGGAGGGCCAGGGAGAGCCTCGGGGAAGGAGGCCTCTTGCCCAGTGTAAGAGGTTGGCACCAAGCAGCTGTCACCATCAGGCCAGCTGCTGGGCCCCACCTCTATCTCAGGAAACTGCCAGAGCACGGGGCCTGGAGTGGCAGCTGCCTGTCCCCAGGCAGGCGTGGAGCACGTGCCATCGCAGCCCCGATGTCTGCCCAGGGAGACACATAGGCCAGAGCTATCCCACCGTTCTCCTGGCTCAGCTGCCCAGCTTGGTGGCCCTGAGTGGGCTCAGCAACACGGGGGAGATACGGCCTGGCACCATCTGCAGGTGGTGAGAGGGATCCAACTGCACAGGATGTCACCAGGACACTGGGACGGAACAGCAAAGTCCCCACAAGGCTCCTGTAAGCAGGACGCATGACCTGTTTGTGGGAAGCACGGCTAGGTGCTTGCTGGACCCAAGTCACATGTCCAGAACTATCCCTTGTGGCACCGAATGGCGGCAGCAGAGGCTATGATAGGAAGATGTTAGCACCCTGGTCCTGCAGCTCATCACTGGCATCACTGGCATCACTGGCTCATCTGCTCTAAGCAGAGCACATGCCAGCGTTGTGGGAGACAGGACACAGGAGGGAGCTGAATCCTTCCAGGCCATGCCCCAGTGACCCCCTTTCTGCCAGGCCCCACAGTGAGTCAGCCATGGGTCTCATAATCCAATTACCTGCCAGACATGTGAGGCTCTGTGGGTCCCTATAGGTATGAACCGCAACACCAGGCTTCTGGAAAGCTCCAAAGGCTTCCACAGCATGGCTCCTGCCTGCTCCATTCCTTAACACCCTGGCGTCTGGCCCGGCACAGAACAATCTGGGGCTCCCACCTGCCCTTGTCTGTCCCTCACCTGGACGCTCTTCCTCGCACCAGGCTCACTCTGCTCAGGGGCAGAGCTGTCCCTCAGCACCTGAGGGCAGGGACGCCCTTACTCATCTCTACTGTTCTCAGCTGCCGGCTGTACTCAGGGCGTAACACTCTCAATGGGAAGCGCTCCCTGTGCCCAAAGGGCAGGGACAGCTTTCCTCTTCCAAACAGAAACAGTTCGAGCCCCTGACACACGTGCAGGTTAGAGGGAGGTGGAGTGAGGGAAAGCAAACAGTGTTTTTATCAGAGCCCGTGGTGCAAGTGAACACACACATCAGACAAAACTGCACCTTTACAAATTAGGTGTGACTTGAGATCATCAGGAGACACTTTCAAACTTTACTCATGGAGGGCAAATTACCTTACAATGAAGGGAAAGCCAGTGGGAGAATCTGAACAATCTGCTGATAAATGAAGAAAGCAACCCGTGGCCCTGACATCTGGGCCAAACATCACAAGCTGGAATCCAGGGTGAGAACCAGGGGCAGGTGCTGCAGACAGGGTGTGGCCGGGGCAGTGAGCAGGAGAGAAAGGACACATCTTTTTTTTTTTTGGTCTTTTTCCTTTTTATCGGTACCGGGATTGAACTCACGACTGCCTGCTTGCAAGGCAGGCGCTTATGCCACTGAGCTAAATCCCCAGCCCGAAAGGACACATCTTATCAGGGACATTTTCAAACACAGAGGAGAGCAGGGATGCAGCCCAGGTAACCATCATGCAGCTTCTTTGAGCATCAATGCCAGCTGGCCCTCCAAAAATGATTTCTGCAACAGGGGCCCTCAGTGATGGGTGTCCTCCACTGGGCAAGCTAGGAGGGTGAGAGCTGTCCTTTCCTGGGATAGCTGTGGGGAGTCTGTTTTTGCATATCTGGGAATGGAACCCAGAGGCACTCTGTCACTGAACTACGTCCCCAGGCCTTTTTACTTTCTTTATCCTGAGATGGAGTCTTGTAAAGTTACTCAGGTTGGCCTCAGCCTGAGCAGCTGTGGTCACGGGTGTGCAGCACCACGGCTTGGAACAGCTATTTTTGGACAAGACGGTCTGCTCTTTGTCAATGTCTACTGAATCTCATTTTTGCATTGAGGACCTCTGCCATTTGCAGGAGGGCTGTCAAGTCCTCCCTGGGGAGGGCATTTGGGGTTTGTGAATGTCTGCAGTGTGCAGGAGGCTGGATCTCTTTACCCGTGCCCTGCCCTCTGACCCCAGCATGGCAATGTAACAGACAAGATGAGTGACCCATGAGTCACTTCCGGTACAGGCTTTGCAAGCCGGCTCAAAGCTTGGCAGGCCATTTTCCCTGCCTCTACATCATGAACCAAGGGAGCCTCTCCAAGCCTGGGTCCCCAAAACCAGACCCAGAAGTGCACTGAGCCAGAGACACGTCATGTCATAGAAGTCACCCGGAGGTGAGGTCACCTATTCTGATGGATGTGCCTTCTTGAGGCAAATGCAGGGAAAGGGCAGAGAGCTGAGGGCTGCAAGAGACCATGGGACATGTGGAGCTCCAACTGTGCCAGCTGTTGCCTCCCGTGCACCTGGGATAGGGTGTAAGGTTCGAATGAGGCTCGGTGGAAGAGTTGGTGGCAGTGGTGAAGCAGCAGACTGCACCTGTGCTTGGGGATAGGGGCGCCGTGAAACTATACCCCTGTGTGCCCCCTTCCTATGACAGTGCTGATGACACCTCTGTGCATAGATGAAGGGAAGTGGTTACTGCAGGCTGGGGATGCTGAGGCACCAAGAGCCCAGGCACACGACACCAGTCTGACCACACGGAGGGTGAAGGAGTCATAGAGGGGCTGGGGACAAAGGAGGAGTTGGCCCCTGCCAGGCCCCAGTGGGCGGCGAGGGGAGGAGCAGCGGGGTGTTTCTCAGATGGTGGCTGACTTTTCTTAGTCAAAAGGCTGAAGGGATTTAGTGATTTATTCCTTCCCCTGGCCCGTGCTAAACACTCAGAGCTTCGGCCAGGTGTGGGGTGTGCACCTGTGATCCCAGCACTCCCGGAAGCTGAGGTAGGAGGATTGCAAGTCCCAGCCCAGCCGGTACCTTAGTGACTTGGTGAAAAGTCCACCTTCCAGGCTGTCCCACTGGAAAACACAGCAACAGCTCCTGCCCAGTCGGATCTCGGTGATTTTCCTCCCCAGGTTCAAACAGGGTTTGAGGCTCTCTCCTCAGACCCTGCACCCTCTCAAGAGCTGCCAGGCTGGGCCTTGGCACGGGAGGACTGCGCTAGCTTCATCTGGTCTTTCCCTTTCCAACCTCTGCCTGGGCACTTTGGTTAGCTGGCCAGACAAACCCAGCAAGCACTTCCAGAGAGTTTTGTGGCTTAGGTGTAGATTTTCAGAAACTTCAGAAGCCCAGATTGCCTAAATGTGGTAATGTCGGTCTGTAATCCCAGTGCTGGGGAGGCTGAGGCAGGAAGATTGCCTGGAGCTCAAAACCAGCAACACTGTTTCAAAACAAAAACTAGAAAAAAAAAAATCCCAAATTGGTTGGCTATTAAGCTTAATATACACAGTTCATGAGAAATGTTCCACCACTATAGAATAAATATCTTAGAGAAACAGACGACCTGAGGAGAAATGGCCATGCTTTTTAGAATCACTTTTTAAGTGCTACATGGAATGAAAAGCTGTGATTACACAGGAAATTAAACTGCTTTACTTACTGTATTCAGAAGCTATGTACCATTCTAAAAGCCTTCCTGGAACACTAATTAAGATATAATTACAACACTTTTGACCTCATTACATTCACAGGCTCTGCAGGTTGACCTTAAATAAAATAACAGGGGCCAGTGTGTAGCTTGGTGGTAGAGTGGGTGTTCAGACTGAGCAAGGTCCAGGTCAGAGCCACAGCATCAATAAATACACAGCAACAAAGTGTGAGAATAAGAGCTAGGGACGTAGCTCAGTGGCAAGCACCTGCCTGGCAAGTACAAGGTCCTGAATTCGATTCCTGATACAAAAAAAAAAAAAAAAAAAAAAAAAGTGCAGGAATAAAATGTAAGTTTGTGAAAAAAATCAGCCCCCCCCCCCCAAACAAAACAGAAAACACACTCAAACTACACCTCAGCCTCATTTCTAGAGACCAGGAAGATCTCACTTTGTTCACCCAAGGAAAAGCATCAGACTCCACTTCCTGCAGCACCACACGACCTAACAAACATCCCAGACCCTCACACTGCCCTGGGTGCTGTGCGGGAAACCCCAAAGGTTCTGCCTACAACACAGAGAGTAACTGACATGCTTGAAGAGCGCTGAAGCAGTACATATGAAAAATGTTTAATAAATGACACCCTAGAGCCAGGAGCTGGAGATACAAGTACCTGCCTGGCAAGCACAATGTCCTGAGATCGATTCCTAGCACCAAAGCAAAAGACAATCTAACACACAGGTGAAGAGTAGCAAGAGTCACACTTGACATTTAAAACGTTTTCTGCAGCCCATAGAATAAAATTTTTTAAATGTTTCCTTTTGAAGTTACTGCAAGAGACAGCCCAAATCTACTTTAAAGAAAAAAATGAGACAGGCTCTTAACCAGGCTGGCCTTGAACTTGTAGGGACCCTCCTGCCTCAACCTTCCCAGTACCAGGCCTATTAGCCCAAGCTCACTCTTCCAGGGTGGTAAATGTCTGTCTGCAAAGGACTGTGAGTGACTGGAAAGCATGTCCTGCCACGGGCATAGAACTGCATGCTGGTGAAGAGATGTGGCTGTTTCCCTGCAGAAAGCTGGCATCTCTGTCTAGAAGCTCCTGCGAGGCTCCACAGGGCGAGTGGTACCCACTTCAATACCCAGCCTATCTTTGCCAAGGGACATGGCCAGTGCCCTTTAGACAGAAAGGAACAGGCCTGGGGCCGAGGAGGAGGGCTGAAGCCATGCCTCACCTGTCCCTTGGGACTCAGGGCTAGGGGGTTACGAGCTGAGAACAGGTGTGGCAGTGGCACCCTGGAGCCAGGAAGTGTGGCTCCCTGGCACTGTGCCTTTGCCTCTGTTGACGCTGCTCCAACTGCTGTGTTAGCAAGG